TTAAGGACATGTTAAGAATGCAAGTTATGCCAATGCGAGATGACCTCTCGTGGATGTTACCCGTCAGGGCTTGGTATTTTACTAGGTTTGAGGCTAATGATCAATTAAAGAAGAGTTTTCCCAGTCACAGGTACAGGCCCTATAACTGGTATATCAGTGATGTGATTATGAAAAGTATTGTTAACAATACCCGTAAAGTAGACTTCGTTGAAATAGTTTGACAAAATCTCGGCTTTTACCAAATCTGATTTAGCTAGCGATTTTAAATTTGCGCGTAACAGCAGTGGAGAAATACCGTCACTACGCTTTGTTCTTCGTTTAATATATTAGAACAGTCGTTTCAGGTAGGTACGGTTATCATTTGTCAACTGTCCTAAGTAGTGCTGCATCTAGCTATGGGCTTTTACACATATTCCGGATTTCTCTATATTCACACAAATGATCTGTGTCCTATTGACAAGAATAAGTCCAGTAGTGTTTCCTACGCTTCAACGGATTTTGGGTATCCTTACTAATCCATAAAGGGCAATGTGATAGTCTATGTGTTGATCATGAAATGTACGGTGATTTTACGGACTGGAATATGGATTTGATTGATTGATCCACCTGCATCGACCGACCAACCTGTTGAGATGGCAAAGTCTCTGCCACTCGTATTACTACTGTCACTCAAACTGTTTATACTAACACCACGAATTCTGCTTGTACAACTAGTACTATGTATAGTACTTTTAACAACTTCCAATGCTACTGATGCAAATAATGCCACCCCTGATCGTTGTTTTCATACTTGTGCTACCTGTACTACTGACACTACCAATACCACTTAGAATGTAGTACAAGGTACACTACGTGAATTGCAGGTGCTGCTGGTGTAATTTGTACTGCTTATGCTATTTATGCTAGGGAAACTCTTGAATTTGCTCAAGCTGCTAATGCATCTTAAAGTAATAGTGCTACTTACACTACTAAAAATAATAATGAAACTAATGCTACTTGTCTTATCTGCATTAATGATATAACTCGTAGCACATGTAATAATTGTACTCCTTATTCAACTGATGCTACATGCGGTGAGACTATAATTTATGGATGACTTTTGAGCGACACTGAAGTGACCTTGAGAGTGTCTACCTACTTACTGGGGCTAAATGAGGGTTATAAGGGAGTTTGAAGAATAAGGATCATGATTTACAGTTGATGGTTAGGGTTAGGAATTAGATTTGTGGTTTTCATCACGAACTGACATGAGCTATAATGTCAAGACTTTAGCCAAATGAGTGAGTGAATTTCGCGCCGAAATCCAAGATTTGTCGTAAATCTGGTTCGTCCAGAAATTGTAGTCACGCTCATTGTTAATTCATAAAGCAGACATCCTTTTATTCGTGAGTAGCATTAATACTCTTTATTGATGCTATAGGTTTGAAGCGATTATGAGTTCATTTAGACTGCGAACGGAACAAAGGCTTGTGACCAAAGACCAATAAAATAGCTGTTCTATTGTGTTCCAGACGCGCTAACTAGAGAGGGAAGTCGAAGTGCGAACAGGGAAGTTTATTACGCGAAAATCCAGAAGGACATTAAATAAGAAAGATTAGTTCAGCGAAGAGTTCTCTTTTCGGCGAATTCATTTTCAAAGCTGCACAATCGCAAATATATATACTTATTTTTACAGGATGATAATAAACTTGTTATATATGTGGAATGGCCAACTATCAAATTTCCACAGCTGGGTTCCCATCAGCCGAAAAATAATAACACTCGCTACAAGAATACAAAAGATCTGTAGCCCCGAGGTCGTAGATGAAGAATTGGGCCTTTTAAAGGAGATACTTATCAAAAACGGGTATCCTTCGATATTCATTGATAGGAACATGAAGCCGAAAACGCCAAAAACAAATAATTACAGTAGAAAAGAAAACTCGATACATGAACATCGACTTCAAAGCTGATAGAGCCACATATCTTAAAAAGGAGAATTTCGGTTTCCTTAAAAAGAACATTCTTCGCAGCAACATTGCGATCATTGTTCACCAATAATCTGAAAAATAAATTATCGCATCTGACCAACTCAATGTGCATTTACCTGCTCTTGTGAGGCTAGGTATATAGGTCGTCCGATGCGTATTTTATCCGAAAGAATTCAAGAACATTATTCGGCGTGGCTAAAAAGAGGGGGCAACGGCTCAATAAGTTCTATAATCGAACACCTTGTGAACACAGATCATTCAATCAAGACAGACTCTACGTTCAAAGTCATCTACAAGGTATGTAGAAGTCTTCCTAAGACAATTAGACTGCATCTTCTTTGCATTGCCGAAGCGATAGCCATACATCTGGAAAAACCAGAATTGTGTGTGCAAAAGAGACTGGTACAACCTCTTTTTCTACTATGGTCTTGATGTATCAAAATTCTTCTCTCTTTTTCATACTCTTGTTCCTTTACAGCCATCTGCTTCACCTTCCATCTTCCCTTTAAATCTTCTACCCCCAACTGGTTTGTTTTTATTTCCACGACCATTCCGATTACATTTCAGCTCTGTTTCAACATTTTATTTTATCATGCTGAGCCATCCTTTCCCAATGATAATTTCCCATTAACAATCAAACGATTATTAAACTTTCCTTGTTTTAAAAAAAATCTTATTACCTTTGTTCATTTAACCTCACTGTCACTATGTATAACAAGGAATACCTGGCAGACGGAGAAGACTGATTTGAAGAGAACAAGTTAAGAATCAGATTTTGCAACAACAGCAGAATTGAAAGAATTATGAAGTATGTTAGAACAATTGAATGAAATGTGCAAATAACGTTTCCAATGTATGATTTTCATGTTATGAATGCACCCAGTAATTTTTCGATGAACAAAGGGCCGTTTTTCCACTCCTGATTCTTTGTTCACTGAAGTGTTAGATAAGTTTTTTCAGTGATTTTTAAACAATTTGTTCACTTGACAAAGAAATTATGTTAGGTTCTGAATAGCAATGTGTGACGGTTTTTTTTGCAGAAAGAAAGCTAATCAATTGGTTGCATTGGCAGTTCAACGTCTAAGTATGTACGATGTGAATCCTTTTGGGTTTTTATTAAATGAGTATAGATATGTTAATAGACCACACTACAATATATATGTCATAACTAAAAAGTATAATTAGCTGACAATGATGAGCTGATAAAATAACGACAATTTTTTATGGTGAATCGCTAAATTCTATTAATTTCCTCTAATAGGTTGACATTATTAAGTGAACGGTTGGAAATGTTTTTCTTTCAATTTTCCACTGTCATGTATAATCGAATTTTTCACTATAATAGGTTCAAAGTGATCGAGATCTGTTTTAGCAAACTGAACATTACATGAAGATAGGATGTTGAATAATCTCTGACTTTCAACAGTTCCCTTATAACTATTATCAGTCCAAGATGATCAAATTCAATAAACCCTCATTAAAACGTTGTGGTGAGTTCCCCTACATGTCTTATTATGAAGGTGAAAGTGCAGGCCAGTAATTCAACCTCAATTTAGATAACTAAGTAGCACATCATCATAACAAACTTGTTTATTCATCTTAAACATTAAAAATAATAATAATAATCCAAATAGAACTACAATAAATAAAACCAAACAAAATCGGAATATATATCATGGCTATCGCCATCACCAGCTATTCTTTCGCGGCGTTCTCAAGATATTCTCTACTTTATGATGTAACATATTCATTATTCAAAACGAATTAGAGCAGAGAATATGTAAATAAAGAGGAGCCATCACAGCTCAAATTTAACAAAAGAAGTAGAAAGGAAAGACAAAATAGAAAGTAGTTAACATGAACGAATGACAGGAACCGTTAGTAAAAGCAATCAGTTAAACATGAGATAACATTATTTCGAAAAAGATAATTTAACAAGTCTATAAGCATACGTATAACCGTCAGTTGTGTAACGACAAAAAAGGATTAATACCACAGAAAGAACACACAGAACTGATAAATGTGAATTTTCACCAAGTAATTGATGATTAGATTTCAGTTTAAACAAGAGATCACCTATATACTTCTAGCGAATAAATACAAGTAATCACGACAATGAAAGGTTAGTGGATTTTAATGCATGTCTATGAACTTTATTACCAAATTTCTTTTAAAATATCATAATAAAGAGGATAAAACAAATGAAGAGCAGTCTAGATAATCATGAAAAAAAATGCAGTATAACAGTGGTAGCTGAATTCTTAAGGTCAAGTTATTTACGTTCACAAGGTTCATGTGCACATACACGCACATACGCATGTATTTGGACGAATATAGTTCCAACATAACTTGACAACTAAGCTTGGTTCTGACTAAAGGTGGAACATATAACAATCAATTAGTCCGGCGCTTAATGTCATATGAACTAAAACATGCAACTAACATTTAGACCAAGTTCATAAGCGTAAGAAAAATTAACACTTGTTCAAGCCAACATATAAAGACAAAGAATTTAATACATTTATATGATCATTAGTCGATGGAATATTGACGATGGATGTCTAAGACAAATGCACAGCAGATGAAAGTTTGCTGGAAATGATGAGGAAAATGAAAGGAAACCAATAATGACAACAATAATCACTGTGTAAAAGGACGATAATAAAGAAAGGCAAAGTCAGGAAAATGATTATTACAAGTGTAAACTAATATGTTCAATACATGATACTTTCTCGATAAGTATTATTACGTTTAATTGAAAATTATGATTAAGCGAAAATAACGGTGGTGCAGTGAGTTGTTAATTTGATAAATAACAGTGAAGAACGATAACAAACACATGTATATGAAAATATCTATTAAAGGATTCTGTGTGTGCAGTAAAGTAAAAATTCAGATCATAATTTTTGAAATTTTCTAAATTGTCCCATTGATCAAGTGACCAGAGTAGTACATGGACCACTAGTAGCACAAACAAACAAGTAAGACATATTTTTCCAGTGAAATTATGTCGATAACTATCCCTTCCTCTCAACCATTTCGACGGCTTACCAATAAGTAGGTTTTCATATTACCTTTACCCTTGACAAACACTTCATCGCGGTATTCAAATATGTAACGTGATTCTAAGCGTTTAGCAACAGCCTCAGTAACTTGTATTCTACCTTTTAAACCTGTTGAATACATACGACTAGCCACGTTGACAGTATCACCCCATATATCATATAATAGTTTTGTAGTACCAATAACACCAGCTGTCACTTCACCAATATTATAACCAACTTTTAGCTCAAATTGAAAATTGAACATTTGGCGATTGAAATCATCTAGTGTATGGATTAAATCCAAAGCAAAATCAAGTAATGCCCACAAATGTTCATCTGATCGTTTATTGCGTTTACGTTCAGTCATATTTAATCCAGAAGCAGCCATAAAACATGAGCCGATTGTTTTGATTTTCTCGACGTCCTTATATTTTGATAAGGCGAGTTGATGCTCAAAATCAGCAAATATTTCATTCATAACACGTAACATCTCTTGACCACCTTGGTATTGTTCGTCATAAAACTCAGAGAAATTCGCAATACATGCAAAAACAACACCAGCATCTTCAATATGTCGAGAGTATTTATTATGCTGACGTAAATCATTCATTATATAATATGGAATAATGTTCTCCAATAACCAATCAGCTTGCAATTTTTGATGACCGATAGCTTCCTTAGCTCGTAGAGCTTCATAATCTCGATGAAAACTTAATCGGAAATTAATATCAAATTCACGATTCAATGCACCGACTAGAACCAAAGTAAGCAACCCAATCACGATATACTCATACACGGCATTATCAGACATGGCTGGATATGACCAATCAGGAAACTCAAATAACAACGATGAATTTCGATTTTCTAGTCGTTCTTCACAATGGCTGGACTATTAAAACTATATTTTATTGCCGAATACCACGACTGAGCATGCTGTGGCGAACACGTGTACTGAAGTGTTCTATGTAAGGATATCAATAGTATACCCAATGAACAGACGAATGTAGCTGAAATAGTTTTCGTCCAAGAGGAAAACGATGTGTACAATGTACAGTTAATAAACATAAAAGTGAACAACAAACCAATCTGTGTACGATAAGTAGCATAGAACATGTGAGAATAATAATAGGCGTCTTTATGATTTAATGACGCATCGAGTGTTATTAAAGGTGTATATTTATTAAACAAACAATAAGAATAAGTCGACAAAACAACAGATGTTGGTAAGATCAAAATAAAAACACCAACCACATTACGTGAATTCCAACGAAATAGCTTCCCATATAGCCGAATCACTATACGTCGCCAATCATAACGGCTATTAGTAGCTTTCAACATGGACTTACTACTACTATTGCTACGTCCTGGACACCAGGCCCATGCAGCCAAATCGGAAATTAACAATGCCAATAACAGTGTATGTATCATGAAGGCGATAAATAGAATAATATAAAAACTTGGCGTATTCACTGCTTTTCGAGCATCTGGAAAAACAATTAAACATGTTATAGCAATAACAAAAATCAATATTGTCTCTGTAATTGTATTAATAAATGGCGCGATACGTGGTGTGGACCATGATAATTTCTCAAAAGAGTGCGTTCTTGGACGTCGTAAACCTAAACGTCGATAGCTCTTCTCAACCATGGGAACAAAGAAATTCAAACTTAATCTGGATATGGGTGGAAAATGAAAATTTCATCAGGTTGAACAAAATCTTGTAATGCCTGCAACATTTCTACATCAGAACCGCGACTAATAGCATACGAAGTAGTTATAGTAGTAGTAGTAGTAGTAGTAGTAGTAGCAGTAGCAGTATGCGGTATAGTTATGTTCTTATTATCCATAGAGAGACGATTTTCTGTTAAGACTGTTGAAACCGATTGTGGGAGTTGACTGGTATCCACCAGCTTTTTATTATCTCCATCATTATGTTGTGTAATGCCGTCAGGTTTCTTAGCGACATTATTAGTACTTTCGTTATTCACAAGTGGATGACATGAGGTAAAAGTGTTGTGAATTTCCGTGGCTGATGAAATACTAGTATTCATTGTTGTTGGGAGAACTGCGTCAATATTCCGTGATTCATCATTCAGATTATTATTTGTGGTAACAGTTTCACTATCGCAAACAGTATTAGTCTAAAAGAAAAATGGTAGTTGTACAGAAAATTAATCGGCTGGAGAACAGTTTTATGACGACTTCGCAAAAATAGTAAATCTATGAAAAATACAACCTCATATCTGTAAACAATAACGGCCTAGAAGTTAGAGCATTCAGTTTCCAACCAATAGTTTGAAGCGCGTCCGAGCCCATCTAGCTCCGTTTAGGCAGCTATATATATACAACAACCAGCAACGACTAGATATAAAAATTGGCGACGAAGTAAAAAAAAAATATTACGACCAAAGGCAGTCTGTAATTGGACGAAATTCAGTCAAACTATTTCGAGCAATCAGCATCCAGATTTGTCATCAGTGTCCTTGAACGACATTGGTCATTATTCACACCGTAATTTTCATTACCGGTGCTGATTCAGAAAATGACTCTCCCTTCCGATCGATTACAGCTACTATTTGAGCGACAGTTGGCGTTCTTAGTCAAATTACGCACACAGTTGCTGAATCACTCACGTTTTGGAGATGCGACGGAAGTGAATGGATTAATTTCTCAATTGCACACTGAGCTGGAAAATGATTGCAGCCTCCATGAATCCTTGGAAAACAGTAACTTAAACGAAACGGCAGTCATTCAATATCCACCCAGCGGTACAGTACTGCCCATTTCAGAAACATGCCCGGTAATTGATTTAAATCCCATTGTCCCCGAAACATAATATACAAACACGGAGGTATCCAGCTCACAAAAAGATTCCCTGTTTAATGTTCACGGAATTGTCGCAGTAACCGCCCACGAAACAGAAAACAAATCGTACAGTATACTGAATGCAGCTGCACCTAATAAAGCTCATCATTTTCTGGCAAAACAAGGTAGTCTCGATAATAAGATTCGTCAGGAACATGTGAAATGGTTACTTAAGAGTAACAGACGTTCCGTAGTTGAGCTTTTGACGTAAACCGAATTCTATAGAAAAACGATATCGTTAGCTAGTAAATCAGCTGATTCACGATCCCACAAGTTATTTTGAGTAATCGCGTATTCAGCCACATCAGTAATTTGATCTAAAACTGATTTTCGACCGTCACGATTGCTAAAGGACAATTTTACATTTTTATAATTCAATAGCCATGGCAAACGTTTAAAGATGCTTGATCAACCTATAACATGCGTCTTTAACTCATTTACCAAGTACAAGTTTTCGTACTGGTACTACTAGCCATCCTAAACTGGTTTTGGAATCTAGTTCAAACGTTACACCTGTTGGTTGGAGTTGGATTACCTTAATTACTAAACCATAGATGAACCAGTCTGATCAGCCCTAATGGGTTAGTGTCTGACGAAATCTCAGCAAGGATTCGAAAAGCTCGCTTGGCTTTTGACAACTTACGTCACCTTTGGCGAAGGCGAGATATCCGTCTATCAATAAAAGGAAGAGTATACTGCGCGGCATTCCGTTCTGTCTTACTTTACGGCAGCGAAACATGGCCTTTAAGAGTAGAAGACACCCGTAAGCTACTAGTATTTGACCACAGATGCCTTAGAAATATTGCTGGCGTCTGTTGGGATCACCGGGTAAGTAATAGTGAGTTTAGACGCAGGGTATTAGGTAATGACGGTAAATCAGTTGATGAGGTTGTTAATCTTCATCGACTGAGATAGTTGGGCCACGTGTTACGTATGCCTGAACACCGATTACCACGTCGTGCAATGCCAACGGGTGTTAGAGATTGTTGGAAGAGAATTAGGGGAGGCTAAACCAAAACGTGGCATCAGTGCTTGAAGACACTAACTTCAAGTCTGAGCCATGTTGGTAGATGCAGACTACTCGGTTGGGGTCCGCGTGACTTTCGTAACCAATGGTTGGAGACTCTTGGTGACATGGCTCAGAATCATTTACAATGGCGTCGGTGTATACATTCCCTGCCTTCCCTTAAATTAAGAGATTAAAATCACTTCATATCTTTCTTTCTACTAACTAATTCTTTCTTTCTGTACTGTATCCTTATATGCAATCTTTCTCCTATATATTACCACCGCTGAACTAACTATTTCTATGAATCCGATGTCCAACTTGCTGTGCTAATGAGGTGTGGCAACTTGGACCGATGCATATATGTGCCTGGTCCTACGCTGTAGCTGACTGACTGTTCGGACTCAAAACTGAGGATAGAAGGTAAACATATTGGTTGACCAGAAGAAACTAAGATTATATCGGCATCAACCCAAGTTTAATCTTGCCAGTCAGTGTATCGTTGGTCAAATCTTAGAACGCTACGAAATACAACACGCAAGGTAAAGAAATTATAATCGGGATTATAATTGGCGAATCATCATTAGATGTTGAAAAACTTGTGGTCATAACAATATCAACGAGATAAAGAAACTAAAAACATAGTATTTTATTTCGATTTTCATCTGAACATGAAACTAAAAGGGTTTTTGGAAAATCGGGACACATAGTTTAGTGAACGATGATTTACATACAGTAAACCAATCTATTGTTTTACGCAAAATCGCACGTCTTAGTAGAATATGAAAATCATACATTAAATGCATCATTTGCATATCTTCCTTCACTTGTTCTAGATATAATGCAACAGTCTAATACTGATGTTATTCCGATTGCTCTCCATTTTCCTTACTCTTCTTTTTATTTAAATCTTCTGCTGGTAAGTATTCCACTTCCTTTTCCTGCTACATACTACTTATATGAAGCATCAAGAGATGTTTGAACAGTCCATATCAGAATCATGGAAGCCCTGAAGCAGAAATTGTGCCTGTCCCAGCAAAACCTTGCTTCTGGTGAATCACAAGTATCTCATACTGATTCATTCACTAACTCCATCCTTGATGGTGTAGCAGGTGTAACTTTTGATTCTTGGTTTAAGAAATATGAAGATTTGTTCTGTATTGATCTTTGCAAACTTGATGTCGCCTCAAAAATCAGAATACTTCAAAGAAAACTTGGGACGATGGAACATGAACGCTATAGTAACTTCATTTTCCCGAAGAATCCACGGGACTTTAGTTTTGATGAAACAATTAAAACCCTGTCTCAAATATTTGGAGAACAGTCATCTCTACTTAATATCCGTTACCAATGTTTGAAGATAACGAAAGAACCAGGAAATGACTGGGAGAAACACGCAGGAATTGTGAACCGAGACATTGAGGCGTTCAAGTTGTCTACCATGACTGAAGACGAGTTTAAATGCCTAGTTTTTGTCTGTAGCTTGCGTCCACCCGAAGATGCTGACATCAGAACAAGAATCCTAAACAAGCTAGAACACTGTCCTAACATGACCCTGAATGAAGTAGCTACCGAATAACAAGGTTAGTGCATTTGAAGTATGATACCTCGATGGTAGAGAACGGTAACCGGTTCATTCACGTCAATGCAGTCGAGAGAAAAGTTTTACAAGGTTCCAGCATGCAGAATTATTGAAATGGCAGCAACAAACAATCATCCCGATACTGGTTATGTGACGCTTGGCTTTCCAAAAGATTTTGTCCTTCTAAAAATCATCGTTTTACTATGTGTTCTACAAAAGGGCACAAAGAAAGTCATTGCAAAACCCGGAAACGCCGTCAACAGAAAGTGTGTTCTAAAAGATTCAAGCCACGAATAGCTAAAGTAACGGTGGCTTTTCACAAGGCCGGCTCATATAACCGTAGAAAGTATGTTTCTCTCAAATTAATGGGTATGATGCCCGCTTACAGTTAGATACACCCTCTGATATAACACTTATAAGCAGAAGAATGTGGGAGAAAATTGGTAGACCGAAAATATATTCAACTCATCAATCAGTACAGAGTGCATCTGGGGAATTCTAAACTCGGTCAGCAACAACGTCGATACGTCGGAAGTTGAGAAGGACATATTCAAAAGAGCACTACCGAAAGGGAAAGGAGAGGAAACAAGTCAGGTAATTACGAAATTTTTAACAGCTAATCGAACTACGCCTAACCCCATCGTCCCAGATGGGAAATCCCCTGATGAAGCGATGTTCGGGAGAAGCATCCGAACTATATTCGACGTCATGTTACCACCTAAACCAGATAAAATCAGAATATCCGGAGTTTTAACGTGGGTGATAAAGTGCTCGTCAAACCATACATTGGGAAAAATCGTTGAGAACCGGGAGTCATTGAGAAGAGAATGGGGAATGTCTTATACAAAGTGCGTGGGACTTTCGGAACGTGGATTAGATACATTAATCAAATACACAGAGAGAAAGGACTCTAGACACGGTAGATAGTCGAGTGAGGCTTCCGCTATATATAATTATAGATACTCCAATGACAGGAACCCCAACAGACACTGATAGACTCTGGATACCAAGAAAGTTAGAACGCCGCAGAAAATCAGTCATCAAGCTGCAAGTAGACCCGAAGAAGAGGTCTTATTCTTTGAAAGGGGGGTGGGGTGATCGAGAAAATTTCTCGCAAAAGACAAGAAATGCTCAGGAAACACTAAGGAGCATTTTATCTAGTCAGCGTTTACTAGCAGTTTAGCCAGAAACATTAAGAAAGCGAAAAGTCACATGTAGAGGCCGATTACTATACTGCTACTATATAGTAGCATTCCAGAATTTTCGTGAAACCCAAGGACATCTCAAATATTATAAAAACCTTATATTTTCTGTACTAAAACGAACTTTTGGAGTACAGTGCTTCTCGCACATTTTGCGCCTTTCCTCTCGCGTTCAAGTCGCTGTGTAGTTCCAGCTTGAAGGTCACAAGAATAGCTTAGGAATTGAATATAGCGTTCAATTAGCAAGACTTATCAACGACTGGGAAAAACTAATCTGACCGACTGAACTATAAGCTTCACACATTATTCAATAGAAAGTGAAGACTTATTGAATAGTTGCTTGTTTCATAATCAAGAACTGATCAATCGCCATTCATTTCCCCACTATATTATAATGTAAAGACCTTGAATATATACAGTTTGAATACACAAAACATCAAATAACAACCTACACTTTGTAATTGAACTGGACCAACTTCCAGTTGCATCTACAACGGGAGAAAATAAGATTAAAAAAGCCACTATTATTTAACTAACATCATTTGATTTCCTTTAGCGAAAACAATAAAAACATTACAGAAACATATTTGTAGGTAATAAGGGGATTTTTACTGAGTAAACGTAAACTACAAGTCGAAACACTGTTGGACAAGCATGGATCAGCGCCAATGATGGTTAACATATTTATTTAATGTTTCACTAGTCAATAGCCGTTTCGAACTCTGGAATTTTAGACATAATAACGTATTTATTAGTAGGCTACCAAAATGGTCATTTGAAACTAAATGCACATGCAAATTTTCTGTAATATTTCCCAGAGAGTGATATGGATTTACAGTTTTTAAAAAAATGTTGAATGTTTGTATATAATAGCATTTTAAGAAGTAGTAACAGTAAGACAGGACAAGTGATTAAGATAACAGAATATGAAGCATTTGCAAATCAATCTGGTGCATTTACATTTAGTTGATTACCAAATATTGAGTAACTATATTTAACTTAAAGTTTCAGATGTCTTTCATATTACAATAAATCATGGATTACATTTATTTGCAGCCATGTGAGCTTTGGTTAATGACACATAATAATGAGAATATTTATCCAGTGATTAATAATAACCCATGTATTAAGTCCATTTGATACGACTACCGTAACTGAGGTAACATTACTACAATGATCACAATAATGCACTTATATGTGCTTGGAAATGACACTGAGAACACCATTGCAAATGGACGGTAAAGTAAAGGTTGTGGAAGTAGATGAGACAGATATTCAAAAGAAGAATTACAATAAAAAAGGAACTTAAGATTAAATAAATCTTTTTGGAGAGCGTTCCTCACTGTAAACTACCTATCACTTCTTGCATGTTTTGTTCAAAATAATAATTTCACTAATTGTGTAAGATTATTTTATGTGAACAATCCCTGTTACTAACCAAATAATTGATCAAAAAATGATATGTCATAAATATTTTATTGTGTTATATTGTCATAAGGACAGATGTAAGCGAACGAAAAGGTGGTCACTATAAAATATACGGCAGTGAAATGAACGACAACACAATACAACTGGTGTCTGTTGAAGCATAACAACTCTCCGATTGTGGTTTTTAGGAACCACGTAATTCTGTATCTTGAGACGTCATTACTTTTGTTTTAGAAGAGAAACTAATGATGATCAAACTCCTCATATGGGTAACATAAACCTTATATTTCTTGGATGTATTTATAGATGAACAATGGTGTTTAACAATATGTTATTGAGCCCATTCGGTTATTGATATGACATTTGCCTCTTAAATTTATTTACAATATATTGATCATATTTTGTGAGTATCACTCTTGTGGTTTCCTGTGTTATCAGTGTTACCTGTGTTACAAATAACTAAAAGACTACTTAAAATTGTGATTTCTTGATTAAATATTCAATAAACTTCCCATCAGCAATCTGATGAAATGGGCATATATTGTATGAAGACAATTATAGTTCAATAGTCAAAACATTCGACTTTTATTAATGAGATGGAAGTTGTAAGAATAATTTAACAATAGCTCAAAAATTACACTGATTGACCACCGAATAGCAATGCACAGTTATTCGTGCAGAATCAATTCTCTAGACGAAGTTGCAATACATATACTAGTGTAAGTCACTGAACAATACCTGCACTGTGCACTGATATTAAGTCTCATTCTACAATCGGCAGTAAGGACAAAAATGACAACGGCTACTATTCAGTGGTCCCCAAATGCCCTGGGATGGCCGAGAACGGGTTGGGCTCGCCCTCCCTCACGAAATACTCTCAGACGGCAACGCGTATACAGCCTCTGCCAGGGAAGTCCTACTTAATGCTTTCTCATGTCGGGGGTGTTGTCTACGAAAATGAGAGGACGTAAAGCGAATATCGGCGCTTCAACCGGACCCCAAATCAATGGTGTACATAGGCTTCAGTATCCTGCGGGAACAAATGGCGTATGAATCAATTTCTTGGTCACCGGCTACCATGGGACTCCATCGCCTTACGATGTTCTACTGCCTTGTGGGTTAGACCTTTAGGTCAAAGGCTCGGGCGTAGCCCCCTACGAAAACCACCTGCTTCGGTGTAAGCACCCGGGCACTATCACAGCCAACAAACAAAAAATGATGAACTGTCGTCTATTGATGGAAAATATTCTTCTTGCTCCGAATAACAATCAAATGGCTCACATTATTATTATTATTATTATTATTATTATTATTATTATTATCATTGTTATTATTATCATTATTATTATTATTATCTACTACGTCATTTATTCACCCTCTTTTATTCCCACTCTGTTTATACTTATTTCTCGATTCACACAGCAGCTCGCCTACGGTGGAAATTTCGCTCTATTTAAACGTTCTCGAGTCACCGCCTGGTTAAAAATTGTATGCTACCACCGAATACGAGTACTGAAGCACTTTCTCTGAAACCACGTGCACCAATCAAACTGGCTCTCTTTAACGTTCGCACACTTATGCAGGTCAGACAACAGATAGGGCTGGCTATGTCTTTGGAAAGTCTTAATATTGACGTTTGTTGTCCATCCGAGACCCGTATTCACTTGTTGGTCGCAGGACACATAACGGGGACCGTCTACTGCAACTGTGCACAGACCACAACCTGTTTCTGGCTAACACTAACTTTCGGCACAGTCATCGCCGATGTGCCACCTAGCGACCTTCCTCTGCATCTCAAGCCTGGACTCAGATTGATCACATCGCGATCAGCTACCTCTGGAGTGGTTGTGTACAAGACTGTCGCTCCTTTTGGAGTACTTATCTGGACTCTGATCATACCCTGATCTGCGCCAATCTTACCTTACTTTTCAGTAGCCAACGAAGTGACCGCCACCAAAGGATTGATTTTAGCAAGTTGGTTGCAGCTTCTGTTGCTAGTAAGTATCGAACCGAGCTAGCTTCTAGGCTAGCTACCATTCCACCGAAAAGTATAGATGAGCATTGTTTGCAATTGCATGACGCCATGAAAATGGCGAGTGAAGTCGCTTGCGGCTTCGAGAAAAGTCCCGCTTATGAGCACTGGGTTTCTTCAGGGTTACCAAATCTCACTATTCCTCTTCAACTTTGCCATCGACGACACTCTGGAAACAGTTCAGATGGATGTAAGTGATGGCAGTGTGGATCTATTGCCTGGAGAAAGACTTCTCGACCTTGAGTATGCGGATGATATTGTCTTTCTGTGTGATAATACCCAAGGCATGAAATCCGCAATTAATCACTTAGCAATCAGTGTCCGTAGGTATGGTATGTACTTTGTACCTTCGAAGTACAAAGTACTTCTACAAGACTGGCATGATTCTAATCCTGTACTCACCCTGGATGGTGAGCAGACAGAAGTGGTCGAGAAGTTCGTTTATCTGGGTAGCTGCATAAGTGCTGGTGGTGGCGTGAGTGATGAGATCAATGCACGAATAGTGAAAGCCAGAGAGGCTTATGCCAATCTGGGCCATCTTTGGCGCCTTCGTGATGTCAATCTGGCTGTGAAAGGTCGGATCTACAACGCATCGGTGAGAGCAGTTTTGCTCTATGCTTGTGAAACCTGGCCTCTCCGAGTTGAGGACATTAGACAACTATCTGTGTTCGATCATCGCTGCCTCCGAAGGATTGCTGACATCCAGTGGCAACACCATGTTAGTAATGAAGAGGTTCGGCATCGTGTGTTCGGGCACATAGACGATAATGCAATTGGTGTCACCATCTTGAAACACCGACTTCGGTGGCTTGGACATGTTCTACGAATGTCGTCCCAGAGAATTTCACGTCGTGCATTATTTGCCAACGCCGGGACTGGTTGGAAAAAGCGGAGAGGTGGTCAATGTATGACATGGTGTCGTGGCATGAAAGAAAGCTGCAAAGGACTGGCTTCTGTCGGTCCTTCACGACTCTCTGGTTGGGGTCTGAGAGATGGTGCTACACAGTGGCTAGAGACGTTATCAGATATGGCTCAGAATAGAAGCCAGTGGCGATTTTACTTTCCTCGTAAAAAGTGGTTGCTTCTTCCTTAGCTGAAAGATTTCTTCCGATTGTACCTTTCCGTTTCCCCCGTTATTATTATTACACTACCTTACACTAATCTGTTCGTTATTGTTCTCCTTTTTTTACGCTCCTTACCTTTTTTAATTCTCTTTAAATTCTCATTGTTTTATGTACCAATATTTATGTGTTCAAATAAATAAAATAATAAATAAATAATAGAGTAAAGTAAAACATCAGCTGCGACCCGGATACCTTAGCAGTGTGAGATCAGTTCCGAGATAACTGCTGATACGCTTTGGTGACAAACCTGGATGAAACCTAAGTCGATGAAATCGTTTAAATTGCTTTTCACACAAGCACATACTTTAAGATATGATTACATAGAAGAGATGAGGCCTCAGTGGTCAAAGTACTCAAGCTCCAATTAGTAGGTTGGAGGTACGAAAAACCTCGTCCCACTTCGGTTTAGATAATAAGATAATATTGATATACCTTACACAATAATTATGACTTAAGGGTGAGGACATAAATTTCTATTATACTTAACAAATTAAATTTATCTATCTATCGATTATACAGTATAGCGGTTTGTGAAGAATGAAAAAAGGTATAAAATCTATGATATCAAACTGGATTACACCGATATTAAAAAGTAAAAATAACACAACATTTGAAAAGAAAGATACAATATACTTCACTTACAGGTGGCAAACTGACAACTGGCTTATCATCCAAACGTTTTTCAATAAAATATGTTTTGATCACTACAGATACCCAACGGAAAAGGGAAAATAAAACAATAGAAAAAGTCATTTTGGACACACATATGTAATTGTATATATAACTTATAAATAATAAAAAACAAAGCAAATAGTCAAAGTTAATTAAGTATAAGTCAGTAAACAAGTATATGTTGAGAATAATTCAGTTGGTCAAACTAAAATAGGTGAGGTGAGGTTTGCACTTGCAACCAATTAATTGAAAGGTAGATGAATTTATTAACTGACCGTCATTTCTCCACAAAACCAGAGTAACGTGCTCGCTTCCTATGATACTAAGAGTTCCACGAGTTCTTCAAAGCATAATATAAGGCTCACACAAGTAAATTCATCTTTTTGAATTTATCAAGTGTGATAGTTGAAGATGCCTTCTTTGAAGCAATCGAGTAGGAATCGAATGTTCATTTGATTTTTCTACTTATCACATTCTTATCATGATGCTGAGTTAAATTCAGTACTAATGAAATAATTGTGTAATACTATTTAAACGTAGTGAGAAAAACATACAACAAAAACGATCACTTTGCAGTTATTGTTGTCAATCATGAATCATGCACAAATAATCCTTCTCATTAAACACGCGACGTTATAGATACGTCCATATACTAACTTTGACTTCAATAAAGTGAATGAGATAACTTTTTACCTCTTTTTCCCTGCCCCGCTAACGAGATTAAGAAATTCGGTTTTATAACGGAAGCTCCGCTAGTGATCACCTCAGTAGAACCAAAAAATAGATTTAGGGCATTCAGTTATATATTGATAACAACGATTCAAATTTATGAACTGAATTATTATCACGAAACACGAACCATAATAAAAGTGTGTTTAAAGTTAATTGATATTGATTAGAATTAGGGATTGTGATTCCACTAAGCTACTGAGTTTAGATAGCCACTAACTTTTTTAAATGATTAGGTCCCTAAAGCGAAAGATACGATATCCAATTCCTTATATGAACATCAATAAAGGGATGCACGTACATTTAGCTTGCTAGTCCCAAATAGGATGAAAAGAGTGCTCTGTATTAATCTGCCAGCCACAGTTATCCTATTCTATAGAAATTGTGACAAAATAGCTATTTTGAGGCAACCCGTATACGATGCATGCGTGCCGACAAAGACTGACCAAAATAATTAGTAGATTAGCAATAATAATAATAATAATAATAATAATAATAATAATAATAATAATAATAATAATAATAATAATAATAATAATAGTAAACATAATTATATGAACAAAGAATATTCTTTTCAATAATTTCTCATCAGATTCAACAATTATAAATCCAAATTAATAATCCATAAAATTGGCCAGATTTAAAGCACAGTACATCATTTAAAATTGTAATATGTGAATCGAGAATTGTTGTTTGTCATATAAAATCAAATCAAATCGTCAATGTTGGGGCTGACTAATATAAAGTGTTAACTTGAATCAGTTTATAAGTGAAATGAAATTGTGCGATAAATGATTAGAATAAATATGGTCAACATGGCGTGAGAGAGAGAATAATGTAATTGCAAATCACAAATTACGTAATATGTAGAATAATATGAATTAGGTCAGATATAGTAGATAGGGATGGATACTGAATACATTTATTATTACACTTGACAACCTTTTTGAGAAATTGGCCTTAAATCTGACCAATTTTATGGATTATAATTTCGGATTTATAATTGTAGAACCTGACGAGAAATTATTGAAAAGAATATTCTTCGTTCATATAATTGTAATTTAATATAACGGGAACTTTCTAGCGATTAATAATAAATAATCCGAAGTGGTTTAGAAGATTTCAACTTTTCCAATATTCGTTCATTTACAAGAATTAGTGTTCGACAATGATGCTGATCCTGGTTGTTTCAAAAGGCACTACTAGTTGTTAGGACTTCATCTAACATCATAGCCATATGCAAGGCATAAATGACGCAAGACACTTCTCTTCACTGAAATAATTACCTCAGAAGTAGTCTCACGTTCATCTATCTCTACTTCCGTTCAAATATACTATTTTCTGAAACATTGTCACTTTCTCGGTTTTCCGGATATCATACTTGGAGCATTTTGACGTCAACATCATCTGATTCTCTCTTACCTAGGAGTAACGTCAGAGTGCAACCACAAACTTCTGTCAGTCTTTTCAATAGTCCTGAAAACAAATCTAAAACTTATAAACGATGATTGAGATTTCAACGGCGTGTATATCAGTTGAATACTTGACGGTGAGAAAACATTTAGCCAAACAACAGTTCGGAACTAATAACTAACCTTAATCAGACATCCAATTTAAAAAATGAAATACAAACTAAACTAATGAATAATTAGATCACGATTCTATACTACTGAAATATATATCAACATCAGAGTGGTAAGAATCGGATTTTAAGATGGAAATACATATTAACGGTATTATTTTGAATTCGCCAATAATTTTTTACTGAATTACTAAATTTATAATAATAAAAACCATGCATCATCTAGGAGTCAACCATACAAGGATACGATGATTGAAGGAGACACATTAGGGACCTTACCTAACCATAGTGAACAAACTAATTAAGCGGTATAAAACATCATGTTGTCTATTAAGGATAATAACCTCAAATAAAATTTATTATGGAAAAACTGAATACTATTGGTGCACAGATGATGATTAGGACTTTTTTTAGGATAAATTATTCCTTGGTCGTTTGAATTAATTTTGAAGATTGATGTTAATTTCGACGTTCTTTTTAATGTGCCCTGACATCAGAGAGTGTATTATTTAAAACGTATCATATGAACCTAATTAAGAATTTTGTCTTTACTTTTGTATAGTCAGATGCTAATTTTCATGTGTGTACGCCTATAAATAATGCATGTGAACCTTTGTATGTTGTTTTTCAACGTACACACATAATGACAATCCCGATATTCAGTTACGTATTTACTGGGGAGATCCAGAAAAATTCATCGCAAAAAAAGTCAAGAAAGGTACAAAAAACACTGAGAAGCATCTTATCGAATAAGCGTTCATTAACAGTTTTGCCAGAAACATCTAGAAAGTGAAAAGTCACATGAGTACTTATACTGCTACTATGTTTAGTAGCATTCCAGAATTTTCCGCAAAACCCAGAGACATTTAAAATACCATAAAAACCCTAAATTTTCTGAGCATAAAGAAACCATATTTCGCGCCTTTTCTCTTGTGTTCAATTCGCTGTGTAGATCCAGCCTGAAAGGTTACTAGAAGAGCTCAGGAACCGAATCTAGCGTTCAGTTAGAAGACTTATCAGTAGCGACGGGGAAAACTACAATAAATATTTCTTTGGAGCAAATAGAAACTTATATGGAGCGTCAAGAGAAGCGGTTTGATCAGTTACCATTCAGAAGCATGGAAACCCTGATGCAGAAATTGTGCCTGCTTCTGGTGAATTACAAGCACCTCATACTGATTCATTCATTAATGCAATCCATGAATTTAATTTTGGTGTATTAGGTGTTACTTTTGACTCTTGGTTTAAGAAATATGAAGATTTGTTCTATATTGATCTCTGAAAACTGGATAACGCTTCAAAGTCAGAATACTTTTAAGAAAACTTAGGACGATGGAACATATTTCTCCCTAAAAACCCACGAGACGTTTGATGAAACAATTAAAACCCTGTCTCAAATATTTGGAGAACAGTCATCTCTATTTAGTATCCGTTACCAATCCTTGAAGATAACGAAAGAACCAGATGACTGGGAGAAACATGCAGAAATTGTGAACCGAGACATTGAGGTGTTCAAGTGGTCTTCCATAACAGATGACTAGTTTAAATGCCTAGTGTTTGTCTGTAGCCCATTGTTCACAAAAAATTAACAGGAGTGATGGGCCATGCTACATCAATCCTAGAATCTTGAGGTCTGTCTAGCCGATAAACACATTACCTGCAAATGATTTAGTAAGAATCAAAAGGTATACATATAATTACAACAGTCAGTTGGCAATAATTTGTGATGATTATCTAATATCATAGGTTATATATTATATCTCAATTCTGGCACACATGAACGTTTTCCTGAGAAGACATTGCTTTCATAGAGTTGAGATGACTGTCCAGTTATTTCTTGGTTTTTGGAGTTGTTCTCTAGCAATTCATAAATCAAAAAATTAGTTAGTAGAATAGGGAAAAGAGAAAGTGTCTTGCGGAAACAATATTAATTTTACTTACTAGCTTCATCTTGAGTATGTTTAATGGCAAAACATTGTTCTTCTTTATTAAAAAATTCAACTAACACTTTGAATTTTCGAATATCTATGGAAAATGAAAAAAGGGAATAGATTATATTTACGAAAATAGTCAACATTTGTTGAACAACCATCATCCGAATTGAAATATGATTAGCATAAAAAAATTTCTGTCTAATTTACATTCAAAATAGCGAAAAACATAAATGTTTTGAAATGTCAGTAACTATAATAGATCACGAAACGTGAAAGTTTTCTACCAGTTCTGCTGCTACAACTATTTTTTTCCACCCATCATATTTAAAAAATAATACAGTCGTCTCGAGTTTCCTTATAAGATAGACAGTAAGCCAACAATTGTGGTGCTTCCGTTTGAGATTTTTATCACATTGCATCTATTGTAACTCCGTACAAACAGCTTCAAAACAGAGAGGTTATTTTGTAGGTGTGATTACCAAGGTTTGACCTTATAACTTGAAATAAATTGAGCATTAGTTATATTGTTATTAATAAAAATGATATATTTGTAAATTCCCAACGAGTAGAAAAATTAATTTTTCTGATGTTTCGTGACACTTCTTTGGCGAATAGAGAAATGAGGATGTGAACAACTACACATAGGTGTTTATGTACAAGAGTTTTAGAACATCAACCTGGTTAAGAAGGATTATTCATTTGTGATTCTAATTTACTGAATGTACACGTACCATAATTCCATAAAATTATATGCTAAGGGAAAATAAAAAAGCTATATGATAGATCCACCTAAATTAAAAGTGGTACAAGTTATTTGATGAATATATTAATTCTATTAGTTGAGATCATGAGTCAATTGAAGTTAGACCACCACGGAAAACCTGGAAGCACTGGACGGCCGTTTCACCCGGTTGTGGGACTCCTCAGCAGTGAGCACCCACGATCCCGCTTCGCGAGATCTGAACCCAGGACCTATCTGTCTAGTGAGAAGCAGTGACCTGCGAGTTCAATTGGGTCTGTGGTGAGATAGTAAGTCACTGAAGACAATGGTGGATATGTCGCGCAATTTCGTGGATTAGTTGAAGTTGATGAACATACGCCTATTACGACAATTTCAAATATAGGCGTATATGTACACTAACTACACATGAACAGGTGTGCTTCAGCGAATTACGATTCAGAAAACTGAAACATAATACACTTTCGAAAATCACACTTTCCTGATAAGTAATTACATAAAACTGACACAGCGCGAAACACTTGGTTGTTGGGATCAAATGAATCGTTGAACCATATGCGTCTATCCTATAATCAATGTTACTTTGTAAGTTAATCGGTGAGTATAATTTTTTGGACAACCTTTGAGCGATGCTGAAATGACCTTGAAAGTGTTCACCTAAGAACTAGGACCAAATGGGGGTTATAAACCAGCGTGAATAATTAGAATTATGATTTAGAGGTTGATGGTTAGGGTCAGGAATTATATTTTCAGATTTCATCACGAACTGACATCAGCTATAATGCCGAAACTCTATTTAGCCAATCGATGGGTGAATATCACGCCAAAATCCAAGACATGTTATCTTATATCCGATTGGTTCGTTCGTCAATTATAGTCTCGCCAGTTCATTTCCTCTATGCAAAAACTATGTTCACACATGTATGTATGCCAGGTGAACGCTCAACTTGTACATCAAACTTGTCAAAAGATACTGTGACAAACGAGACAAGTGAAATTCAACATTTTCGGAAATATTCTATTGAAACTAATGTGGCACATAGTCAGCACTGTATGCAAGACCTATAGACTTTTGTATCAACTAACAACGCGTATTGTAGAAACAGCATCCCGTCCCAAAAACAGTGATGTAACTCAGTTATCAAGTCAGTCACTCACTCACAATTTTGAATCCGGTACGTACGTACATCAGACCAAGTTGCCATACCCCGTTGGCACAAAGAGATGAAATAGAGATGTACCAAGTACAAGTTTATGTCTGCTCAGCTTTAAGCCATAAATTTGAGTGCTTAGAGAGGCTAATGTATAAAATTTTGGTGTTTTTTTATTTAACAGATATTCACAAAATTGTAGCCAAGCTTCCAGGTCATTAACAAACATGTTAATATAATTGCGATCAGTATTTGGAAACGTTAGGAGAAATGGTTCAGAACCAGTCACAATGGCGCAGATGGATTCACTCTTTATCTAGAAAATGTATTTCAGTATTCCTTCACACATTCCTTCTTATTCCATCTTCTGGAGCCATGTTCTTAACACTTAGTCTTTCTCATTATCATTGATACAACAATTATTTCGATTTGTTTGTCATTTATCTTGTTAGCTTCATACCATAGTGATATGCTGCTATGCAACCTGAATGAACGCCTATTTGTGCCAAGCTTTACTTTAATAACAGCGGATTAACTCAACTTGATTCGATAAAAAAATTCACCTACTAACACTACTATTACAATTAAAACAGATGTATAAGAATGTCTCATTGATGGACGTTCGAATCAAAGAAGTGGTTTGATACTTTATCTTCAACTACTGAGAATAAGATTCAGTGTTCTCTGAATGTGATTTGGTCCGAACACTGGGTAAGTATCGTAAGCTACTACATACACATAAAACGTAATTCAAATTCATGAACATAAACACGAAAGCTTGAATTAATAGCCGGGAAAGCACGTTCGTCTCTTCAAGGTAGAAAATAAACTGAATGTGTGACTCTCAACTAATTGCTGATAGCCTTTCCCTACTCAACATCGAAATTAAGGCTATCATTATACCATATCATCAGATAGTTTCAACATACGTTTTCATAACTGTCTTATCCCGCACCAATCCTCCGAAATTAAAATTAATAGACTATCAAAATTGAAAAGTAACATAGGATGTATTGGAAAGACAAAAGAAAAAGCATAATTATGGGTAGGCAAAACACAACTGACCATGAACAGGTTTTCCTTCAGAAACTTCATAAATATCTTTTACAAAACTTAAAGTAGCTTCAGAAATGTGCACTTTTCCCGCTTCACCACTAGACTCCATTTCATTAGCTAATGTAACATCATTTGACCAAACATCGAATTTAAACCGTCTTGTTCCGACAATTCCACAGATCACTTTACCAGTGTGTACACCGACACGCATATTCACCTGAAATAATAAATGTACAGTGAAAACTCAGTAGTGTTTAAATCAAACAAGTAGCAATGAAATATGAAGACAAATGATGGGAAGTCCTTTTGGACCTATTTGGCACAAATCAGTAGGGTATACATTTGATATAAAGGGGAGTTACAACGAATTGTGAGACATAACATAGCAACACATTTAGGTACATTACTACTGAGCTATTCGAGCAGAGACTGACCTCACTTAGACTAGAGACCGTATGAGAAATCGATCGATAGAATTTGATTGAACAAACAAGATATTGGTCACTGTTACTTATTAATGCATGAAGTAACAAACATCAACACACGTTCACGGTAGAGTCGAATTAATTACGTTTTCTATGCCACTAAAAATGCAGACAGCTCGTGATGATCGATAGGGCAAGGTAATTTCCGCTTGCTCAGGTCTTAAAGTCAAACTGAAAAATCTCAAATGAGTGATCAAAAACAAAATACTATGCATTTGATTGTACAAATAAATTACCACATCATAATGCACTGTATTTTTTTAAATCTCAGTACATAGATAATTAGAATATATCCTGGTAAAAACAAGTTGTATAGTTAAGATTGAATGATTTTAGTTCTAAAATGCAAAATAATATAAAAATTAATAGGTCAAAAACGATTTTGGGTTCGGGGATATGTATAAAATTGCTATAAGATAATCATTTTAATAATAATAATAATAATAATAATAACTGCATATTTCTTCAACGTCTTCAGTAAACAGAAATATGTTATTTGGCTACTGCAAATTAACGAGTCTCTAGACTGGAGAGATTTACTTTGAAAAGTCAGAGATAGAAAAATTACCCTGATGAGATCCTTTGTGCCAAAAAAGAGGAAACTGACCAGGCACTAATGGGTAGTTTGACCCAAGAAAATAAAAAGGACATATTTAGAGTGCATATAGCTTTCTGAAAACTTGATGCTAAAACTAAGGAAGTTGGGGAAAATTGATTTCCAAATGAAAATGTATATGAGCTCTGATGAAACAAATGACCGAAAAATCTGTACCAATAGTCACGGATTACTACGGGAATGAAGGTTCTAGCTTGTAAACTTTCCTGTTAAAGAGTAGCGGACTGACCTTCAAAACAACGATAGGTTTTATATTGGATGTCTGACAATTTACAGCCCTTCATCGCCTTTTAACCGATGGAAGACATTTGAGGTTCTACAATTTAAAATTTTTGATTGTTCTCAGGTATGCGTATTACTTGTCAGATGATATATATTTCTCCTAAACTGTACACTTGAATTAGCATATAGACAGAGTAGAATTTGAACCTATGACTTGAAAGATGAATTTAGTGTTTGTTACATCTTTAACTATGAACCATATATCAGGTTTGTATAGCAATGATGAAACATGCTTTCAGTTGCAAAACGCAGTCAGCTAGTTAGTGTAGTAGTTAGGCTCATTCACCATTGAAACATTACCTCTCTAAAGCTATTGTCTATCAAAAATTTAGCGCGTTTTCTTAAATTAATAATAAAATAACCTGTGTATTCTCAGTACGGTTACCGGCCCTATCTAAATATTTGTCCTTTTTTGTCTAGATTAAACAGTTCAAAATGATTGTGTTTTTATGACACCGGTAACGAAAATTTCAAGTAGTGTTGTGTTTCCTCGATCCGTTTCCGATCCATACACAAAACAGTTTGGAAAAAAAACAGAATAAAGTAAACTAGAATTCAAGAAAAAGATAAACAGACAGACAGGAAGGAGAATTGACAAAACCGGTTTGTCTTCGTCTTCCAAAATGAAATAAGGAAATAGCAAAATTAAATGAAAAGGATGGTTACGGGAAGTGTGCTGATGATGGAAATATTGTTAGATGTTCAATATTGACTTGAATAAACAATAATCATAATAACAGTATGATTGAATATGCTATGGTTGACATCCTCGAGTGTATACCAAAGACTGATAAGTAACAGATACAGGATATAATGTAGTAAAACGTGGATAACTCGGATAAAACTACGACCCAGAAAACATTGTAAACATGACGATGACGATGACAAACATTGAATGATTATATAAAAACTAAAAATTGCAAAATGCATTATTTCTTGATGGTTTTTGTTTTTTTTTTTCTAAAAGAACATTAGAAGAGGTATTACAAAACAATCGACACACTACAATATAGACTACTAACAACTATCTAATTAAGTCCAAAAGTATTATCCTTCCACAATTATTATACATTCATTTCGATGTCATCCATTTACGAATGTGTTCAACTTGGAATTCCATTCTTTGTATTTCTCTCTTTGTGTGTATGTGACTGGGTGAGCGAATCAGAGCTAGTGACACTGCTTGACTGGCTACCCTACGAGATGGGTGAAGTCGTAATGGGTTTTTAAACCTGTAGCCTAATAGTGATAGGGACAATTAATTTACTGGTATCAATTTATTTGGGTAGGTGGGATTTGTTGACGAAGAACAAACAACTCACTTCATCATCAAAAATATTTTTAGAAATCACACGAATATCCTCCATCAAAAAATGATAATTTTCTATATATCATCCGTATACTACTAATGGCTAATTAGAACACGATGCACTTGAGTCCAACCGTTGTGAAGAAAGGTAGATAGAAGTGATGACTGTTCTGAACAGATTGCATTTTGAACAAACCAGCGATTAGTGATACGTAATATCCAACTTGTGATTAAGAATTTCCTAAATATACAAACGGTTTTTTTCTGTATCTGTGTATTGAAATACGTACTGCAAGAAGATAAATACCATCATAACATTTTACATCAAGCTAGCTCACTAATGATCGGCTTCGTATATGGTTCCATCTAGATTATAATCTACAGAAACGAGGGAAAAACCTGTAACAGAAAAAAACTGCTTTTCGTCCCAGAAGGAAACCACAACATTGTGATATTCTTCAACAGACGCACGTAAAACTAATTTTTTGATCAGTCAGTGAATTGATCCGTAACACTAGAGGAGTTATAAATGTTTGTGCTTGAGCTACGATTATTTACATATATTTTCATCAACCCATTTACTTACTTTACTTTCGCCTGTTACTCCTAATGGAGCATAGGCCGAGCAACCCATTTACTAGGTGAAAATGTGTGTATTTGGTTTCTAGCCATGTGAAAATCCTAGCAATCCTGACCCAATCGAAATGGATGAACCAGGGTTCAAGCCTACGATTAGGTGGTTGGATTTCGGATGTCTTAACCACCGAGCCACTAATCCATTAACAGTGATGCATTTAAGCATATAAGCTAGTTATCTGAACTTGAATATGTATGAATGAATAACAGGACATTGAAAACAGTCATTTTAATTTTAAAATAGGAAATTTGAATCCGCACAATAGCGTATGATTAACAAGTGACCTTTTTCATACTGTGAGTATCTAGTGAGAAAATTTACTTGTAACACAGGCAAGTTGCCTGTCTGCCAACCAAAAGGCGTGTATACTGTGCAGAAGTTTTCTCTATAATTTTGTGACTGTGAAAAATAGTCCATTAAACTAGGAGACATGGATAAGTTGTAGGTTTTTGATCACAACTGTCTTTGAAGCACTATCCGCTTTTCATCAAATCAGCCGAGTAAAAAAATGTTGAGGTTAGCGCCACCTAGAGTCCCTCTGGGGGCTACTGCCGGTCCCAAGCCCGGATAAAGGAGGGTTGGGCATGGGGTTAGCGACCCCATCCCGTAGAAAACTAACTCGCTAAAAAAACGCTAACCAGAAAAAAAATTACTCAAACCTAGTGCATAGTGTACTATGCACAGATAGAAAGTCGTTTGACAAGGTGATGGATTTTTACCGATAGTGGTCAGAACGAGTGTTATGTAAATCTAATCATCGCTTAACTAGACAAGTGACATCTGATGTAGGAACAAGGTGAAAGAAAAAGAGGGAAGCCCATGAAGTCAATGACTGTTAGTAAAAAACCTGTTGGTAGATACAGACTGTCTGTTTAAAGTCACACGATAACCAGTGGTCGTAAGACTTGGGGTAACATGACACAGAATCGTTTATAATGGCGCAAACGCTTTTACTCTATCTTTCGATATTGAATTCCCTCACATACATTGTCTTTACGAGCCTTATTCTCAGTACTTAGTCTTTTTAACTGCCACTGCTTCCACATTATTCCTATCCTGTTAATCTCACCTCGTTGTGCTAATATAGTATGGCAACTTGGGACAACACTCATGCGCCAGGCTTCATTTTAATGGTGACTGATTAACTGGGTAACAAAAAATAAATTTTGATTAGAAATATAGTCGGACATCTACCATTATCGGTTACTTTGATGTAAGACGTTTAACAGACAACCTGTGAAACAAGTATGAGACTATTTCCATTTTCTCAGGCAAAAGCTCCACACAAAACAATTTACTAACACTGATAACTAATTGAAATAAATAGAAGCCAGTTATGAACGACTGCAGAATAATCATACCAAAGTTAACGTAGTTTTCTTTAATTTGGATCCGACAAATAATATATACATAGATATATATATATATATATATATATATATATATATATATATATTCTTCCACTTACTTCCTCTGAATGATCTTCATCAAACTGTTGTATAGCTAAGCACATTGCTCTACCCATTTCCACTGTTCGCTCAGCATGATCTTCGGTTGGATTCGGACAACCAGAGACGCAATAATAACAATCACCAAGGGTGGCGATTTTCTCACAACCAACAAGTTCGCATAAACGATCAAATCTATCATTTACAGTAGTAGAAGACGAAAAATGACTGAAAATCCACATATTGATTATAATCACACCAAAATCCGTAAGAAAAATCTCATTCAACGTGATATATACGTGATAAAACCGACACATGTCATCATAATATTAGTATATGATACGTTTACAGTTATAAATTGGTAACCATATACACTGGGGGCGGCCTGCCTAAATATCTGGGCTACCTGTTCCTGCTATTTAGATATTTCAACAAGTTATATGTTTTCTTGTTTGTTTTAACACATCATTATGCCAATTGATCGCATAACCTATTCAGGTGCGTTTGTGAAAAGTTCACGACATCTCGCTGTACAAATTACAAAAGAACCCAATCAGAGACATCGTGGTTACTGGTAATATGCATCGGAAAGAATATAGACTAATCAGATGTCGATTCCTGAACTGCTAACATCTAACTGGAGACCACTCAATATTTATCGCAAGGGTCGATCAAGAAATAAGGAAACTTGTTGGAATACTTTGTGCTGAGAATTCTATATTGTACCAAACATATAATATTGAATAAAGCCAATAATAATAATAATAATAATAATAATAATAATAATAATAATAATAATAATAATAATAATAATACTATGAATGCAAAATACCATAAAGTTAGGGTGAAATAAAAACTGGAGTGACAAAGTAATTAAAAGTTAAGCTTTTATCAGAAAATGGGCCATCTTAACAAAAGTTATCAGTAACAGTGACCTGTTAATGAATAGCTAATCAAGTGATCACAAGTCAGGAACCCTACTTCATATAATTGAGAGAGCATGAAAGTGTAGAAACACGTCAATTAATTTGAAATACAACCCAAATACCTCTTTACTTACACTATGATACTATCTCAAACTCTTAAGGAGGATACTTTTTATTACAACTTGATTACAAACATATTTTGTCTGTAAACTGATGAACAGAATACCGACAGGCAAATGATAGAAAATAATGATACGGCATGGTAAACTGACAACTACTCATGAAACTGAACCATTAGACTAAGTCCTCTTCCTAAGAATGAACTGATATCAAAAAGTAATCAAACTGCCTGTAGGATTGGTTTCTTTCAGAGTCAAGGACAAACTTACATACAAAACATTAAGCACAAAATTAAACATAATTACATATCTTTCACCACCGCGTTAAACATATTGCGGTTTGAGCAACCGAACATTATCATTAGCTCCCATATTTAGAGTGTGGCTTATATCCAAGTACCTAGTGAATCACTTTATTTCCATACACCACAGACATGAAGACCTGACAATCAGACCTTTTTGCTTGTTAAATGACACTCTACGATAAAATATTCTTTAACCAAAACTACACCATTTAGTTGGGACAGAAATAGTTCACCAAATGAGTATGGTTAACTCGAAATTGTAAATACACATTCTGGATGAGTGTAGTCAGTCAGTCACAAAGTAGAACCTGGTACATATGTACATCCGTTCAAGTTGTCATACCCCATTAGCATAGAGAGATGAAATTTTCAGATCGAATCGCAGAATGGTAGAGGTAATAACAGTATCAGTGGTGACTTAAAAGACTAAGGATCAAAGATACGATTCCAAAAGAAAATATAAATTAATGAGATAAAAGCACGAGAATAGTTGCGAGGAAATCAGAATCGCAGAAATTGAGGAAAGACAGAGAATGGATGCACCCGCGCCATTGCAAGTGATTTTCAGCCATCTCGTTCATAGTCTCAAACCATTGGTTACGATAATCACGCGGACCTCAACCAGATAGCTCGCTCCAACTAACATGGCTCAGTCTAACTTTCAATAACTTTATGGATTGAAGATGACCCTAATTTTCTTCCAGTTTACTCTTACACCACATAATACTGCCGGTCGAGACAGGCGATAGTTGGCCCTGCGTACCAGATGTCCCAACCACCTTAGTTGATGAAGATTTGTCACCTTTTCAATCGATTTGCCATCGTTATCTAGTATCCTATTCCTAATCCAGGAATTGCTTACTTCATGATCCCAAAATACACGAGTAATGCCTCAGATACGTCTATAATCGAATACCAGTAACCTATGAACATTCTCTATTCTTAATGGTCATGTTTCACACCCATGAAGTAAAACGAAGTGGGCTGATGTGCATCCAACTTGCTCTTTAGCTGGCAGGCAGATATCTTGCCTAGGCCGCAAGTGACACAAGTTGACTGCTTGTGGAGTATACTTCCCTCTTCCGAGCTTTGACTTCTCTCTTTAGTTAGCAGGGCTCGGACGCGGCAGATTAGCTAGCTTATCTGTCATCGTGTCACAGTCTTCGTTCCGTTCTCAGATCACGGAAACTTATAATCTCTTCAAACAGCAGAATAACAGTCCCATCTTTTTCCGAGATGGTTTCACCAACGGCCGGATTTTTAACCCCCGTTTCCTTGGTAAGTCTGAACAGTTGTTGTGACCTATCGCTGCTCTTTTTCATCTCTTCTGCTTTCGCTACCCACCACTGCTCACGATTATTTCGGCTCTTGATTAACTTACGTTTAAGCTGCCTCTGCTCCTAATCGTGTTCAAGGCCAGATGGGATGAGTTTATGAGCATCTTTCAATTCTACAGATGCCCTTGAAATTCACTGATTTTTCCTAACCATTTGATTTAAGTTACGGGTAGATATAATTGCTGTTTCCACAGCTCTTTGGATATTATGTGAAGTTACCTCACAGTGAATATCGCTTAACTAACCGCCGGAGGCAGAAACCCGAGGAATGAGGTCCACCTTTTCTATTCCCTTCCTGTTGTGAGAAGGCAGTACCCCTGCAGATGCTGGTTGTTCGAGGAAACATTTTACTGTTGTCACATCCCTCTACAGTCAGCAGTAGGACTTCGCCCTCGGGCCTTAAGCTGTTGCTTTTAATCCTACTGTTATCCAACCGACCCGCCTGGCATGGGCATTGTGACAATACCAAGTGTGTAATACAGCAGTAGTTTCAACACTAATGAATGGATGAGCTACATACATATGCGTAAAATACCAATATAATTATTTGAGATTGACATATTTCCAGATATACACGTCGTAGACCCGAACCCCGGTCAATCTATTATTGTTTGAATAGACAAGCAATATCACTAGCTCTCTCGTATACAAAAACAGTAAGTCTCAAAGTTAAGTACGTAAATCAGTGCATGGAGTAAGAGAGTCTCATAAAAAATGGATTCCAATATAGTACGTAGATATATCGAAAACAATGATCTAACTCAATTATTAACTAAAAACTTGTGCAGCCTCAGCAGCAGTAGGTCTCAATATACACAAAGGGAAAAGCAGGATTCTCCGATACAACACAGAATGCACCAATCCAATCACAATTGACGGAGAACATTTGGAAGATGTAAAAACCTTTACGTATTTGGGCAGCATCATTGATGAACAGGGTGGATCTGATGCAGATGTGAAGGCGCGGATCGGCAAAGCAAGAGCAGCATGTTTACAACTGAGGAACATCTGGAACTCAAAGCAACTGTCAACCAACACCAAGGTCAGGATTTTCAATACAAATGTCAAGACAGTTCTACTATATGGGGCAGAAACCTGTAGAACTACGAAAGCCATCATCCAGAAAATACAGGTGTTTATTAACAGTTGTCTACGCAAAATACTTCAGATCCGTTGGCCGGACACTATTAGCAACAACGTACTGTGGGAGAGAACAAACCAGATCCCAGCGGAGGAAGAAATCAGGAAGAAGCACTGGAATTGGATAGGACACACATCGAGGAAAGCACCTAACTGCGTCACAAGGCAAGCCCTCACATGGAATCCTCGAGGCCAAAGGAAAAGATGAAGACCAAAGAACACATTACGCCGGGAAATGGAAATAGATATGAGAAAAATGAACAAGAATTGGATCGAACTAGAAAAGAAGGCCCAGGACAGAGTGGGTTGGAGAATGCTGGTCGGCGGCCTATGCTCCATTGGGAGTAACAGGCGTAAGTATGTAAGTAAGTTGTGTACTCAGGATTTCGAACCATATTTTTTTAGTATTACAGTGTTATTACTACTGCCCGTCTGCCCGTAACCGAGATAGACGGAAGTGAGTGCATATCTCCAACTCGATGATTGAAAATCCAGTTTATTCACTAACTTCCATGTACCCCACATGTATATTTGTTTGAGATTTGTGGAGGTTACTAAATGTGTGAACCACCGAAAGTCCCAAACTAGAACGAAGCAGCTGTTAAGTACTCTCTATTTGATATTATAATCAATGGCAAGAAACCAAATTCAAGCCTATAGATATTCATGATAAAAGTGATGGGGAAGCCCATCTAGTTTGTTAAAATCAACAATAATGAAAATAATCAAAATCGGATAAATTCAATAGTTAATTTAGCCATGAAAGTCAATAAAACAGGACACTACGTATTGTTTGATTCTCATAATTTGCGATCCATACATAATTATCTTTTCTGAATAATTTTAGAAATTTATTTGCTTTTTAAAGTGATGTATTAAGAACATTCTGACAGATGCATGACCATAACCATGGACTGATGAATAGAAATTGCTAAAATAAATGACTTGAGTTGTCGGACTGAACTTGATGTATTTTAATTTATTACACTGGCTGAACATCAAATAACTTCATCTACAAAACTGGTGCTTTTGCTCTAGTTAGCGGGCCAGGGAAAACAAGAGGACAGAATAGTTTTATTTACGGTATTAAAGTCGAAGTAGATAAATTATAAGCACAGTGCACAAACGTATCACACTTCGATACACTACTGTGTAACCTATTTACAGCGAACTAATAGCAATTTGTTTGGACGATGGAAGAAATAACACACTGTCTAATTGACTCAACATTTTCTTTGGAAATCTAAGCTGCTATTTAAATACAAATGATTCCAAAGAAAATCGTATGATTAAGTTGCTTATCGGACTAAGAGTAAAAACGAGCGCCACCAAAATCACAATGTGATTGTTGTTGGGGAGATCCAGATGATTCCTTGAAAAAAGCCGAAAATGCTCAGGAAAAGCTGAGAAACATCTTATCTAATCAGTATTTAATAGAAGCCTTACCAGAAACATCTAGAAAGTGAAAAGTCACAGGTCACGTTTTTGATTGGATAATTCATTTTACCGCTACTATGTTTATTAGCGTTAAAGTCGCTGTGAGGATTTAGTCTGGGGATTACCAGAGAGTTTAGGATACCGAATCTAGCGTTCAATTAGAAGAGTTATCATTTGTACTTTTATCCCCCCTACCTCCTAAAAAACTTATGGAAAAAAAGTGAACTTACCTCCCAAAAAGATCATTTAATAGGTAGACAAGATGTGATGCAGATTTATTCGAGCTCATTTTAGTAAAACCAACAATATCAGCAAATAATACACTGACATTTTCTAATTGATTCACATGAAACTTTCGAAATGCGACAGCTCGTGATGGAGGTACAACAGCTGCTTTAGGCATTAAGCTACATTTTTGACTACAAGGACTGCTAGCATCACTAATGCCAGAACCCATTTCTAAGTCATCTGAAAATAAAGTAATTTAAATAGATATGAATAAATAGTGAATTTAAACTTGTCGGAATTTATACATGCATACAGTATACAGCTAACTAATGTAACTTGAAAACGTCTCTAGAAAGTTTCAACAAACGCAAAACTGTTAAATAACTGACTTGCTTTGTTTTTAAAATGAATAATAGACTGGAATGAAAAATAACATAGACAATATTATAAAATTACCTAAACTGGTTTACTAATTGCTAAAAGATACGAATCATATAAAGGGAAAATTGAAGAACAAAGATAGTGCTGCAATGGAAACTAAAATGGTAACTTATTTACAATTCAGTCAGTCAGTAACAACGTAGAACTTCGTACGTACGTACATCAGTCCGAGTTGCCACAACACATTAGCACAGAGATGCAGTGGTCGATTCAAATCCCGTAGTGGTAGAGGTAATAAGAGTATAAGCAGTAATCGGGAAGATTAGGGTTCGGAGATGATATTTAAAGAGTATAATACAGTGAAATAAATTTGGAAAGAGAAAAAAGGAGACAAGGAGGAATAAGATCAAAATTTGGGAGAATACAAAGAGTGGATGCACCTGCGCCATTGCAAACGATTTTGAGCCATGTCATTCAGGGCCTCTAACCATTGGTTGCTATCATCTCGCGGTCCCCAACCAGGTAGTCTACACCTACCAACATGACTCAGACCACTTGTCAGTGACTTCATGGAATTGTGGCATGTTTTGGTCTGGCCGCCCCTAGCTTTCTTTCAACCTACTCCTATACCAGTGAACATCGCACATCGAGGCAGTCGGTGGTTGGGCAGACGTAACATGTGTCCCAGCCATCACAACTGATGAAGTTTCACTACGTCATCACATGATTTGCCATCTTTACCTAGTACCCGTTTCCGAACAACTGCGTTACTTACTTGATAGTCCTAGGATATACGAGCAATGCTTCGAAGACACCTATGATCAAATACTAGTAACCTACGAATATCCTCTACTCTTACCGGCCATGTTTCACTGCCATAAAGTAGGACGGAACGAACTGTTGCGCAGTAAACCCGTCCTTTGGTTGATAGACGGATATCTCGCCTACGCCATAAATGACGCAAGTTGGTAAAAGCTAGTCGAGCCTTCTGTATCCGTGCTGGGATTTCGTCACACCAGACCACAAGGGCTGATGAGACTTCCAAGATAAGTGAAGCGATCGACACGCTCAATTACTTCACTCCCTATCATTAGTTCGGGTGTCAATGCAACCCAATCCTGAAGCAGCATTTTACATTTTGAGAGGGAGAATCGCATCCCGAACATGCCTGCATTGTTGCTTAGATTGGTCAGAAGACTCTGCATTTTGTCAGTGTCTTCACCAAACTTATTTACAATTGGATTTTTTTAATAAAGTTGAAATGATCGAATATTCCAATTGTGACTGAGATTGACAACCGATTGCAACACCCAAATACCTTTCAACTTTTCAGACAATAATATTGACTTTATTAGACCAGTGGAACACAGCATTAAAAATCCTTGGGACATTTCTCATCAGATTTGAGTCTCAATTCAATAAATATAACTAATGTACTAATAATTACTACTAATCATCGAGCAGTTGGTCGCACACAAAAATAGCTATGATGTGATAGTTAGCCCACGCTTAGACAGTGATAAGTATTACAAGTTGCCAAACGTGACCCACACTTTTGATCGCAGTTCCAAGTTTCTCTGATTATCTACCTGACTGACTAAGTCGTAATGTGTCCACTCCATTATATTCCACCGAGTATGGCTTGTGGGTAAAATACATACTATGTTGTACTGCCTTACTTTTAGTACAGAAGTGTATGAGTAGAGTTGACAAAAGCCACACAGAGTTACGAGAAACACTTACAACTATTGTTTCTTAAAATACCGGAACTGCTCCTTGAATCATGTGATCGGAAATGAGTTATTTTCTTGCTAAAGGGCAATACTGAATATTATACTACTTAGTAAAGTAGACTTCTAACGTTTTATGTAGCGCAATAATAAAGTATGGGTATACATGTGCATTCGGCTTAGGGTCAAGCTTTTGATACAAAGGCTAGTTGATCAAAATGAAAGTCATAGAATCTGTAACCCAGTAACTTGAAATCAAGTACTTTGACAACTAGATAATCGTTCAAAAGTGCTTATGGAAGTAAACAAGATGAATTATCAATAATAAATCGGAAAGGTGAATATTAAAGTAAATCTAGGTTTTGTTTGACCAAAGTAAAATTTATAATAACTACAAATAAGTCTCCTGATGTCAGCCGGATATAGATTGGATTAAAGGGTGCTCAATCCACGATTGATTTGGTGCACGTTGATTGGCTAATTCTTGTCCAATCAGCGTTAGTCGATACCTGGAGATTCTAGAACATTCTCAAGGAAAAACTATAAATATACTAATGTTTTTCCTACTGTGTTTCTTACTTTCATCTACCCTTGTTATTTGGAGTAGAATCACTTTCCTGTTCAACTATGTTCTGATTTGGGGACTTGTCAAGTGAATTGGTGTCGAAGAATACTAAGCAATAGGAATAGCTAGGCTGTAATAAGAGAGAAATATAACACCTAAGTATAGACGTCAAAACATTATTTTGCAAAGAAAAAAAATCGGATAAGATAACTCTGTTACCAATCACTTTTTCAAGCGGTGTAACCTAAACCCTAGCCATTGCTGATTGAGATAATAGTAACTAATAAATTAACAATGTACGTGCAATAAAATCAGAGAACAAGAAACGACAACAAGAGAGACAAAAAGAATTGCAAGTCAGAGGCTCATAAACTATACTATGAGGCACACTAATTGTGATTGGTTCACTAATACCATTCGAGTGTCGAAACTCAAAAAATGTAGTGTTTGAAATGGGTGAAATTCATATGATTAAATCAGTGGGGTGTAATTCCATGTTATTAAAAATTCTGGAGGAGAAAAAGTTCCAAAATAACTTACACGCAAAACCATATAACAACTCAGCCAAACATAGCAACTATGTTTAATTGCCCCTGGTGATTTTGAGATATGCTATTTACTAAAGGAACACAATGCTTTCATTTTCAAAGAAAATCAACCTATTTCTTATTTTACAAACTAACCTTGTCGTATAGGCTGTTGTTCACAGTTACTTCCAAGACTCGCTTTCTTTGGAGTTTGTGTTTCATCTTCATCTTCACTATCTACCTCATCACCAGCATAACTGAGTCCAATAATTTTAAAACTTTCACCTAAATTGATACAATTCGCTTCGTGTGATTTTTTGTCTTTCGATTTTCTATGGTGACTTTGCTTAGACTCATTCCTTTTATGCTTATTTTTATTCTTGTCGTTTGAACGCCTATGATCATCATCATCATCATCATCATTAGTGTCATATTCAATAGAACTTTCATTGCCCACTTCACGCATTACCTCTTGTGCAACTTGATTAGGCATTAATGAACGAATCATATCATCGCGTATTTCTTGTTCTTTCTTTAATGCTTTTCGCATTAAAGCATTATAACCCATGCGTAAAAATGTCGATCGGCGCCAAACCTATGTTTGTTTTTTAAATAACATAATAATAATGTTCCTGCAAAAAGCGACTAGTTTTAAAAAAATAATAACAAAGATAGATTAGAACAACAAATATAGATGAAAAATATTGTTTTTAATTAGATCCTCATCAAGCTTTATTCTAATATACATGAATACTTAAATGCATATACGAAATTATCATATCAATCACCCGACTGTAGCTGCTACCTTGACGTGGTGGTCAGGCTTACCTATCGTGATGACCCAACCGAGCTATATTGGCTGGGACATATGTTCCTGTAGGCTCTACCAGGCCAGGTAGGTCGATTGGAGAACGGTAAGACTAAAAGCAGCAACTCAAGGTCTGAGGGCGAAGTCGTACTGCTGGTTGTAGAGGGTGTGACAGCAGTAAGGTGTTTCCCTCAGACAACCAAAACCTGCAGCGATGCTGCCTTCTCACAAGGAAGGAAGGGTTAGAAAAGGTAGACCCTAAAAATGTCACGCCTCACCTTACCTCACGGTTTCCGTCTCCGGCGGTAAGGCTCTTTGTAGAAGGGAGCTAACACGTTAAAAACCTCCCTCAAAAAAGCCGTGCGCGACCGTCCCTTAGGATCTGCGGTCACGCTCCCAGGTCGTTAAGACCAGCATTAATCCAACTTCCTTTTCAGGTTCCTCAAGAAATACCCTTCCACGGTGTGGGCAGCCGGAAAGTGACATCAGCCCTCATACCCGTAACAGCACACGAGACCAAGTTGGTCACATTCAAATCCTTTGTACACCTCCTAATACCTCTTACCTCCACGACTAACCCTTCTCACGTCCCTTTATCACCTCGCACCGCTAGGGCAAACGATTCAAGTACGCGGAACGTTATTTCTGATCTGAAACCACGCTCTAAACTACACGTAGGAGCTTTTAACGTACGAACACTGTGCCAAATAGGACAGCAGGCTTCCTTAGCTAAGACTTTAGAATCTCGCACCATCGATGTGTGCTGCGTCTCCGAAACGCGCATACAGGATCCGAGTAGCGTCATCTATTTGACCTCACCATGTCAAAATAAAGAACCAACTCGATTCACACTTCGTGTATCTAGAAGCCCTGATTCTGCTTCTCGTGGCCCCGCCGGCGTAGGTATAGCACTGAGTCCTAGGGCAGGACTAGCTCTCTTAGACTGGATCCCAGTAGACATTCGTCTGTGCACTGTCCGACTAAACGGAACAATAAGGGCTAGGAAAGATAAGGACACTCGTCTTTGCCTCTTCGTCGTCTCTGCCTATTCACCCATTGACTGCAACGCAGATGATTTAAAAGATGAATTTTACAGAAAGCTTTCCGACCTCCGAAAAGCTAGGCGCTCTGATGTAGTAATAGTGGATGGTGACTAATGCTCAAGTAGGTAAACTAAGCGAAAGGGAAAGACACCTGGGTGGATCTTATGGTGTCGTGGCTCAAAGAACAGATAATGGCGACCGTCTGTTGCAGCTATGCTCAGATAACCGCCTCTTTCTTGCAAATACTAACTTTAAGCATAAGGAAAAATATCTTTGGACATAGTGACCACCGAATTTGTCCCAACGTTGGACCCAAATCGATCACGTCGCTATCAGCCACCGATGGAGGGGCTCGATAGAAGACTGTCGCTCATTCTGGGGCACATGCTTAGATTCAGATCATGCTCTAGTAAGAGCGCGTATTTGTCTGCATCTTACTGGATGTAGGAAAGACGCTGCAAGGAAACCTGTTAGGGTCCTACTTAATGATAGCCAAGCTAAGAATATATCTCAGGAACAACTAGAAAAAGTTAGGCAGCCATGTAAATGACGCCCACCCCGAGGCGGCACGGAATGACATCCGAAAAGCTGTGGAAACAGCAGTGATACCTTCTAGTACGGTAAACCATAAGGTTAGGGAGCAACACTGGATCTCAGCAGCATCTACCGCACCAATAGATGCTCGGAAACTCATCCCATCTGGCTTTGAACATAACGAAGAGCGGAGTCAGCTTAAGCGCAAGATGACAAGAAGCCTACTCAATGATCGCGAACGGGGATGGGTAGCGAAAGCAAGAGAGATGGAAAAGGCAGCGGCAATAGTTAACAGCAGACAACTTTTCAGACTTGTTAAGGAAACCGGTATTAAGAACATAACTGTTAGCGAAACTATCTCGGAAAAAGATGGACATATTCATTCTCAATCCAGGAGATTGGGTCGATGGGCAGAACACTTTAGGGATCAGTTCAACTGGCCTTCAGCCACACTTCAGTTTCCCACAATCTCCAGTCGACCTGAATGGCAAGTTGAAAAAGGTATAGCAAATCTAAAGCGTGGGAAAGCAACAGGCCCTGACAGGTTTACTCCTGAGAGTTTTAAGGATGGTGGTCCAGTATTGGCAGCGAGATTGACTGAGGTCTTAAGTAGAATTTGGGAACTGGACGCAATCCCATCTGACTGGTAGCAATAACTGATTGTTCCGGTCTGTTATAAATCTCTTTTCTTACGGTTATGACCCAGCTATTCCTATTGCTTAGTATTCTCGGACACCGATTCACTCGACAAGACCCCAAATCAGAACACGGTTGAACAGGAAAGAGATTATATTCCAAATAACAAGGTTAGATGGAAGCAAGATGCAAGCCAGAAGCACAATAGAGAAAACGTCAGTATATTTATAGTTTTTTACATGAGAAGATTCTAGAGTATTCTCCAACTATCGACTAGTGCTGATTGGATAAGAATTAGCCAATCAGCGTGCACCAAGGCAATCGTGAATTGAGCATGCATTAATCCGGTCTATGTCCCGCTAACACAGTCTATAAGAAAGGACAAAAGTCCTCTTGTGACAATCACAGAGGAATCAGTTTGACTAATATAGTGTCTAAAATATGAGCTTCAATAATACTTCGACGCCTAACCGAAACTCGTGAAGAGCAGACTAGAGAAAACCAGGCTGGTTTTCAACCCGGACGTGGTTGCATAGATCAGATGTTCACACTAGGTCAGATCCTAGAACATAGACACACATTCAGACGCCCCACAATCGTAGTATTTCACGACCTTAAGGCGGCATTTGAATCTGTTGATCGTGAGGTTCTGTGGCAGTGTTTGTCACGGAAAGAAGTACCAAAGAAGTACATTAACCTTATAAAGGCTCTCTACTCGAACACAACTGGTCGAGTGAGAGTTTATGGCGAACTGTCATCAGAACTGATTAGCTCAAGTGGTGTTCGTCAGGGCCCTCCACTCTCTCTGTTTTAGTTCAACTTTATCGTCGACGTACTTTTAGAGATAACTCCACCTGGAGTCACTTCGGGGGCTACTGTCGGTCCCAAGCCCGGATAAAGGAGGAGGGTTGGGCATGGGGTTAGCGTCCCCATCCCGTAGAAAACTAACTCGCTAAAAAAACGCTAACCAGAAAAAATTATTCAAACCTTTTAAACTCTGCCCTGGGAGTCAGAAGGTCTTCATTTAGAAGAATTATGACGCCTCATGATGAAAGCCGAATTCCTTCGGAAGTTACGAGGCCGATGCCCCTTCTGACAACCAGAGCGACCATTTATTTAGGTACATGGAATGTTCGTACAATGTGGGACACCGGGAGAGCCTTCCAAATTGCTGCAGAAATGAGAAGATACAACCTAGAGGTACTTGGGATCAGTGAAACACATTGGACACAAGTTGGACAACAACGACTAACTACAGGAGAGCTCCTGTTATACTCCGGCCATGAAGATGAAAATGCACCACATACACAAGGAGTTGCATTGATGCTGTCCAAACAAGCGCAAAATGCACTTATAGGATGGGAATCTCATGGACCAAGGATCATCAAAGCCTCGTTCAAAACAAAGAAAGAGGGTATTTCAATGAACATCATCCAATGCTATGCGCCTACCAACGACTACAATGAAGACGCTAAAGATCAATTCTACAATAGGCTGCAGTCAATCGTCGAGAAGTGCCCAACAAAGGACCTGACTATTCTGATGGGAGATTTCAACGCCAAGGTTGGAACGGACAACACTGGATATGAAGACATCATGGGACGACACGGACTGGGAGAAAGAACGAAAATGGTGAGAGATTTGCAAATCTATGTGCCTTCAATAAACTGGTCATAGGCGGCACCATATTCCCACATAAACGCATACACAAAACCACATGGACTTCACCGGATCACACCACACAAAACCAAATCGACCATATTTGCATCAACAAAACGTTCAGGAGGACTATAGAGGACGTGAGAACCAAGAGAGGAGCTGATATAGCATCAGATCATCACTTGCTGGTCGCCAAGATGAAATTGAAACTCAAGAAGCACTGGACAACGGGGCGGACAATATCACAAAAGTTCAATACGGCCTTTCTTCAGGATACTAACAAACTCAACAAATTCAAGATAGTCCTCAGCAACAAGTTCCAGGCCTTTCATGATCTACTCAATGGAGAAGGAACTACTGTGGAGAGCAACTGGAAGGGGATCAAAGAGGCAATCACTTCAACATGTCATGAGGTCCTGGGTCACAAGAAGCACCATCACAAGGAATGGATCACTGTTGATACACTGGATAAGATTCAAGAAAGAAGGAACAAGAAGGCAGCAATCAATACCAGTCGAACAAGAGCAGAAAAAGCCAAGGCACAAGCTGAATACACAGAAGTAAACAAACAAGTGAAGAGGAGCATCAGAACCGACAAACGTAAATATGTGGAAGATTTAGCAACGACGGCGGAAAAGGCTGCAAGAGAAGGAAACATGAGACAACTGTATGACACAACAAAGAAACTCTCTGGAAATCGCCGCAAACCAGAACGACCAGTGAAAAGCAAGGAAGGCGAGGTAATCACCAACATTGAAGAGCAACAAAACAGGTGGGTAGAACACTTCAAAGAACTCTTGAATCGACCAGCTCCACTGAACCCACCCAACATCGAAGCAGCACCCACGGACCTCCCAATCAATGTTGGCCCACCAACAATTGAAGAAATCAGCATGGCCATCAGACAAATCAAGAGTGGCAAAGCAGCAGGACCGGACAACATCCCAGCAGAGGCACTAAAAGCAGACGTAGCGGCAACTGCAAGGATACTCCACATTCTCTTCAATAAGATTTGGGATGAGGAACAAGTACCAAAAGACTGGAAAGAAGGACTTCTGATCAAAATACCGAAGAAAGGCGATCTCAGCAACTGTGATAACTACAGGGGCATCACTCTTCTCTCAATACCGGGAAAAGTCTTCAACAGGGTATTGTTAAACAGAATGAAGGACTTCATTGGCGCCCGACTTCGAGACCATCAGGCTGCATTCCGTAAGGATCGATCGTGTACCGACCAAATCGCAACACTATGGACCATTTTGGAACAATCAACTGAATGGGACTCATCACTCTACATCAACTTCATTGACTACGAGAAAGCATTTGATAGCGTGGACAGGACAATATGGAGGCTTCTTCAACACTACGGCGTGCCCGAGAAGGTAGTCAATATCACAAGGAACTCTTATGATGGTGATGACATAGTTCTATTTGGTGAAGACGCTGACAAAATGCAGAGTCTTCTGACCAATCTAAGCAACAATGCAGGCATGTTCGGGATGCGATTCTCCCTCTCAAAATGTAAAATGCTGCTTCAGGATTGGGTTGCATTGACACCCGAACTAATGATAGGGAGTGAAGTAATTGAGCGTGTCGATCGCTTCACTTATCTTGGAAGTCTCATCAGCCCTTGTGGTCTGGTGTGACGAAATCCCAGCACGGATACAGAAGGCTCGACTAGCTTTTACCAACTTGCGTCATTTATGGCGTAGGCGAGATATCCGTCTATCAACCAAAGGACGGGTTTACTGCGCAACAGTTCGTTCCGTCCTACTTTATGGCAGTGAAACATGGCCGGTAAGAGTAGAGGATATTCGTAGGTTACTAGTATTTGATCATAGGTATCTTCGAAGCATTGCTCGTATATCCTGGGACCACCGAGTAATTAAAGCAGTTGTTCGGAAACGGATACTAGGTAAAGATGGAAAATCAACTGAAGTGGTGAAACTTCACCAGTTGAGATGGCTGGGACACATGTTACGTCTGCCCAACCACCGACTGCCCTGATGAGCGGTGTTTTATGGTGTAGGAGTAGGTCGGAAGAAAGCTAGGGATGGCCAGACCAAAACATGAAACAAATACATTAAGTTGAAATCATGAGTCAATTCAAGCTAGAATACCATGAAAAACCTGGAAGCACTGGACGGCCGTCTCGTCCTAGTATGGGACTCTTCAGCAGTGCGTATCCACGATCCCGCACCCCGCGGGGTTCGAACCCAGGACCTACCGGTTTCGCGCGCGAGCACGGCCACTAGGCCACTGAGCCGGCATCCAACGGTGTTAATGTCTAACTTCAACCAATCCACGAAGTTGCACCACCGTACACCATTGTCTTCAGTGAGCTGATATCTCACAACAGACCTAGTTGAACTCCACTGGTAACGGCTTCTCACTAGAACTCCCGGAGTATCTCCTGAAGTCAGTCACTAGTGAGCAGATGATTATTATCAGAATGGGTTTTGTGGAGATTTTTAGAAATTTCACAGGTTGAAATCATGAGTCGTGGATTGGTTGAAGTTAGACATTAACACCGTTTGATGCAGGCTCAGTGGTCTAGTGGTTAAGTGCTCGCGCGCGAAACCAGTAGGTCCTGGGTCCGAAACCCGCGGGGTGCGGGGTCATGGATGCGCACTGCTGAGGAGTCCCATGCTAGGACGAAATGGCCGTCCAATGCTCCCAGTTTTTCCATGGTGGTCTAGCTTCAATTGACTCATGATTTTAACCTGTGAAACTTCTAAAAATCCCCACAAAACCCATCCTAATAAAATACATTAAGTCACTGACAAGTGGACTGAGCAATGTCGGTAGGTGTAAACTACCCAGTTGGGATCCGGGAGACGATAGCAACCGATAATTAAAAACCTTGAATGATACTGCTCAAAATCATATATATATATATATATATATATATATATATATATATATATATATATATAACTTCATCATAGACTTATTGATGAAAATAACATTCTCGTCGACTGATGACATATTCCTGTTTGGTGACGACGCTGGTAGAATGCAGAGTCTTTTGGTAGCACTGAGCAACAATGCCAGAATGTTTGGAATGCGCTTCTCTCCCTCTAAATGCAAGTTGTTGCTTCAGGACTGATCTGCGTCAACACCTGAACTAAGGATAGGGAGTGAAGTAGTCAAATGCGTTGACAACTTCACTTATCTTGGAAGTCTGATCAGCCCTAATGGGTTGGTGTCTGACGAAATCTCAGCACGGATTCGAAAAGCTCGCTTGGCTTTTGCCAACTTACGTCACCTATGGCGAAGGCGAGATATCCGTCTATCAATAAAAGGACGAGTATACTGCGGTCTTAGAGATGGCGCAACTCGGCGGCTCGAAATGTTGCCAGAAACGTTTCAGAACGGTGGCCATTTGAACCCTAGCTGTAGTTTTTCCTACTTTTTTCATAAAAATGAAATTTATTTACCTGGAAGGGTTTCTCGTGATTGTATTTTTAACTGAACCGTTTCTCCAATTTTAAACTACTTGAGTTCACTCATTTTTGTCCATTGATTTGTCTTTAATTATAAACACATGTCTTCCTCTATCGTTTCATAAGTATATTTTCTTAGTCGTGTAGTCTCTCTTTTCTGCCCAGCTGTATCGATATTTATAAAGTAAAATTTAACAAATACACTACGCCTTGGTATTAATAAAATGGTTTAGTACATATATTCTGGGAATCAATGTAATGTTATCAGATGTCTCTAGCACACCTGTTTGTGCACTACTGGTTGATTCCTAAGTATATGGTTTGGGCTTTCAAATCTTCAGTCGCAAGTGCTTCAACCATGAATTCACTGTTCTACATATTATAAAATAACCATAAAACTAGTCAAAAACATTAATATCAAACCGAATTCCTGGAAGTTATGGTAAAACAGAGCGGACTTACTTGGGACATTAAGTGAAGATTAATTCCAATTAAATGAACGGAGAAATGACCGACGAAAAACAACAGTATAAACCAGCCTGGGACCCGGTCGTACCTCACACTTGCTAAAACTATTTGCAAGACACTGACGGGTCCACATATTGCCAGCAGCTGCCATAAGCGCAAAGGAGCCATAGTATATGTGATCAATATGAGCTGAAGAATTAAACTGAGATTAAAAGCCAAAGTAGCACCAGGTTCTGGTGGAGTAAATGCAAGCAAGCCAAGCAAGCATGAAATCCATGCGTGACTAACACTGATTGATATAGCTCGGGATCTGAAAAGTTTGTCGAAGAAGCTCATTAAGAAATAAGTAACTGAGATCACAACACCAAGACTGAATCCGATCCTGTATATTAAACAACTAGGATGTTGCAGAATTGAAAAATACATCAACCAAGCGACTGACAGAAAAGCTGTTAATACAGTACCAAAACGGAATCTCCCACGAGAACTTGGGTAAGTGCATTTGTAGTAAAATGACTCTAATACTTCCGAATCAAACTTGAGATTGAGTATTCCCCCAGAACATCTTTCAAATAAGTAAAGTCCTTTGATCTTGTGTTTCCGGACTGAGTTGACTCCTTTAGCCTTGTCAAAGTTATTTCCTGATGTCATTATGGGAAAAACAAATTATGCAGATATCTTAAACACCATTTGAGTGGGTGAAGTTAAGATGTTATGTGAGTAACTGATATCAAAACCTTCAAGGTAGGATCAAACTTTCGGAGCAATGATATAATATTCTTATCAGACGATAATTATTCTGGTGAACTGATTCTCGTTACTCATTACCGCGTGTCCTATAACTTGGACCGATATCCCGACCATGAAGAGACGACCAAGCCTTCTCGCGCGGCTCTGGATGTTTCCCAATATATCCAATATCCAATATATTTGCTCCACGCCATTATAAACCAAGTTATTTCTTTGTACTCGTTTCAAGTTTATTAAATATCTTCGTCACGCATTTGTATAGACTAATTCACTTCTTCGCTCTGGCTTGTTGCTGTTTCGATACAGTTCCAGGTATTTGGTAGTGTCCAGTGAGTAGTAGTCTCACACTTGATTACACCAATTCTAGTGAGTTTGTTAGAGACTCATGGGTTTAAGTGACTGCGTTTGTCCCAGGGCAGTGAGGGTTCCGGGTGCCCGTAGCTATCACATTATCAACTGGAGGTCGGCTGATGGCAATGTGAAATATAACAAAGTGAAAATTCTAGAACTAAGAAAAGGAAAGTGCTTCAGAACATAAAAAATAGGCTGACTTAAAAGTCTTCACGCACAATTTACAAACAGAGGCGTTATCCTAGCTTGATTTGGATCTCTCAAACTTCTGCTGGGTTCCGGGTTGGTAGTTAACTGTGGTTCTGTCACGGCCAACAAATACAGAGGTTGGTTTCACAAAGCGAGCACAAACCTAACAGCAACTGCTTACAATGGACTTAGTAAGTCAGATAGCATATGAGTATGTGGCACAAACAAGGAAAGAATGTAAAGAGGGCAGGGACTACTTAATCGGAAAACCCTGTGTCGGCAGGCTGCATGTCCAGTCATATAAAGCCTGCTTGGAAAAATAATATGATGGAGGTCACGTGTTTAAATCGATAGCACAGACTACCCGTATATAAACTCTGAGTTTACCGAATAAAATTAATGAGTTGAGTGAACTAAGTATTGCTAATGGTTGAAATGGTTTTGGATGGAATAGAAGAAGCTTTCGCTTAATGATGGATCTCCAATACCTCCAGACAAGAACCTAGTTATATTACCGATAAAAGAGGGAAAAGAAGTTGGCAAATCATAGTATGAAACTATCCTTAGTCCTTAAGAATATGTCAAGTTTTCTCTTAAACGACTCTAGCGAAGTTGCTTGTACTAGCTCAGCCGGCAGTGAACTCCAGCATTCGACTAATCTTACACAGTAGAAGTTTTGTCTACAGTCCGTTCTGCTGAGTTGCGTTTCCAGTTTTCGGTTGTTACCCCTTAAGTTTGTGTTGAAACCAAACTTAAGTAAGGGTTGGAGAGAATAACCAGGTGTAGCTAAGATGCTGTGAGCCATTAGGTCACCTCTAAGACGCCTGAACTCTAGTGGGTAAAGGTTTAGTGATTGAAAGCGCTCTTAATGAGCCTTGAATTTGAGTCCCTCAACTGGTTTCGTCACAAAGTGTCCTTATCCTGTGGAAGTGAGGGAGGAAATAATATGTTTACGTGTTCTAAATGGGGAAGAATGAAACTGCTGAAGATTATGTCGGAAGTTCTGCCGTAAAAATTGTCCCAAATGAGCTCCAATATTACCAGCACAAATTTTGCTCGAAAGGTAATTTTGTCACAGTTAACGTAGGACTTCAAATCAAGACTTCAAACTTCTAGATCTTTTTCAACTTGAGACACCTCTAGAGGAGAGTTGCCTAGATTGTAATCCGTAACATGTTTCAAATGAAGTACTTAACACTTTGAAGTGTTTAATGCAAGTCCGTTGTCATCTGCTCAACTTTGGAGTCGAGTCAGATCCCCCTGAAGCCCCAGTATATCCTCCTTGCTGCGTGCCTCTCTTTAAGGTTTCACATCATCAGCAATAAGTAATAACTCTGACGATAACTGTTGTGGAAGATTGTTTATATAAACCAAGGAAAGAAGTGGTTCTTGTACTGAACCCTGGGCTACCCCATCAGGACATTGCGTAACTTGATAGAAAGTGAAGTTAACCCTGACCTTAAAATGTCGTGTTTTTAGATGTGAAGTGAGCCAATCAATTAAAGGTGATTTGAAACCCGATCGTTTGAATTTGTTGATATGGCATATATGGTCGGTCCTATCAAACGCCTTTGAGAAAACACGGTAAATGACGTCACCCCTCCCCTTGCGATCAAGGATGCTTGTCCATCTGTCCACCGTAACCAGCGGGCTGGTTGTACAACAATGACCATTCCTGAGACCATGCTGTGGGAATCGAAAGGATTTTAAGATAATAAATAATCATGTATACCGTCGTATATCAGGGACTCCATAAATTTTTATGGTATATAGAAAACTGCCACCGGTCGGTAGCTCGAAGGTTTGTTACGTCGACCTCCTTTGTAAATTCGTGTGATGTGAACCAGATACCGAATTTCCGGTAATATGCCTCGGCTTAGCAAGTGTGATATTATCACGCTAAGCAGTATTGCCAGGATCGAAGCTGCTTCCCTCAGTATAGCAGGACCAACCCTATGCTAACCAGAAGTGTCCTTTTTATGTGCTGCAGTTTCCGGAACACCAAGTCAGGTTCACTTCCAAAGGTTTTGTGCAGAAGCAGATGAAAATTTCGTCAGTATAGTTGATGTGGGTCGGTTGAAATGTCTGAGAGTACTGTTCAGCTAGAAATTTAGCGGCGTCACCATCATTATTGGTCGGGCTATTAGGACCTAGCAGTTGAGAAACTTCAGTTTTCGCTTGTCGAAGAGAGGCTGCATAACAGAATATGCTTCTCGGATTGTGTTTCTTATATGTTTGTACTGCCTGTGCACTCTGTTGTTATCAGCTCCTTTGTATTCTGCCCAACAGTGCTTTTGGCGGCTTAGCAAATGAAAAGTGTGGTTCTTGATGACTCTAGGTTGCTTGTAGACTTTCGAGACCATTTGAGGAGCAGACTGCCTTGTAAGATCGCGTGCAGTAAAAAATCCCGATGAACATCCACATCTACTCTAGTGTGAATTTCCCAATCCAGCTGTTGTACATCGTCCCGCATCGCTGACACATTCAACATTTTGAAGTTTCAGCGTCTATTGTTGGTGGGATGTCTTGCTGATAAAACTATAGGCTATGACAGTGCGATCAATCGGGCGGCTTGCCTGAATATCTGGGCTACCTGTTCCTGCCATCGAGATATTTCAGCAAGTTATGTTTCCTTGTTTGTTTGGACGGATCATTGTTATTTAATTGCATAACCTATTCAGGTGCGTTTGTGAAAGGTTTACAACATTTTGCTGAACAAGTTACAAAAATTAGCAATCGGAGACATCGTGATGGCTGGCAATGCGCATTGAAAAGAATGAATATTATTCAGATATCGACTTCCGAAATGCTAATATCTAACTAGCGATCACTAAATATTTGTCGTCAACATCGATAAAAAAGAGACGGAAACTCGCTGAAATACTTTGAGATGTGAATTCTATGTTTTACCGAAAATATAATATTGAATAAAGCTAAAAACAATAATAATCGCTTTTCTCTAGTGAGCCAGGATTGAGAAGTTGTCCATTGGGGATTTTTCGTTGGCAAATTCCTAGTCTAAGCGCGACGGCGTCTGATTGTTTCTCCAACGAGTTGCCAATTTCACATTTTCGAAACACCCCAGATCCTCGGTGAGGTTGAAGAACCGAGTTTTAATAGATTTTTCACCTTCAATGTACTTATTTTCTGCGAAATTGACTTTAGGAAGGTTGAAGTCCCCTAGAATCTAAATATGAGTGAATCCGAGACGAGTAGAGCGGGGTAATACTTCCAGTATATGATTGTCATCTTCGGTGTTAGCAGTGGGCTTCCTGTAGATGACTCCAACTACACATCTCGAGGCGGCAGGCAGTCTTACTGAGCACCATACAAATTCGTCAAGATTGATAAAGTTTTCGTTGTGCACTCGACGTGCCTCCACGCAAGGTTGCATGTATAAGGCTACTCCACCGCCAATTCCTGTTGTTGTGTCATTGCTTGTTGAGTCAATATGTTCTTGAGCTTCAAGGACTGCTTGATGAACATCCACCCCCTAATATCAGGGTTTGTGTGATCTGTGTTTTCCGGTACACCTTGCACAAGGATATTTCTTCTGCGGAAAGACTTCTTGCGAGATTCTTCAAAGATGTTCCGGATTAGATTGCACTCAAAATACAGTATGTCAGGCAGTATTCTTACGTTCCCATCTGATTTCAGTAAGTGACTAGCCAGTAACACACCCCCTACGTCGTCAGCGTTAACGACTATTACACGAAGTAGCCTTGAGTGATTTTTATGCTAAGAGTCCTTTTACCGAGTGAGCAGTGAGACCGTCAAGTGCTTTGTTTTGGAATGTTTGAGGTTCTTGTTTAACTCTTCCCAAAGCATCCTGTCACGTCTGTCCTGCAAACTAAAAAGGTCAGGACTGTCTTTGATGTTCACGATTATGAGAGATTCTTAGCGAACCGTGATTGTTTTCCAGGTTTCAGGTACGTTCAGGTTGGGGACCTGGTTGTTTGGTAGTCGAAGCGCGTTTCAGATTCCCGTGCTCTTTGCTGACAAGTTAGACATTCTTGGGGTTAGACTGTACGGCCAAATCATCAGTTGATCTCACTACAATACCTGGGATGTTCAGCTTCTTAGACCTTTTTAACTTTGTTAACAAAGTTTCAACCACCCACAGAGTTTTTGCGGACCACCGCTTCATTCAGGGATCCTATGCGGGAAGAGCCAATTTTTCTGAGGGATTCTAGTTCCGTCGGTGTTATGATGGTGCTGAGCTTCAGCAGGTTCTCAGTATTGTCATTTCGTGCTCCGTCAACAGCAGCGTCATGGAATTCCCATTTCTTGTCCTCACTGCGCGTCTTTCTTTGTTTACTCGTTTTAGGACTGCCTTTGTACCGGTTTGCTGACAACTTTTTCAGCAAACCCGTTAAGAGAATGAAAATGTTGCTAAGCAACACGTCAGTATCCACTTTGTACATACCACATAACCACCTACGATTCGACTTACTAAGTATGTTGTAAGCAGTTACTGTAAGATATGCGTATGTTTCGTGGACACTGCATGTCAGTGTAAAGGAGCAAAACAGCATCCGGGACGCTTGCATGTATTCTTCATGACTATGGTGGTGTCAATTGACTAATAGATCCTTGCAAAAGTTTACAA